CAGGAAGCAAGTCAAGATATTGAATCGCTTCTTCCTTGCCGCGCGCACTATTGTAGTGTCACAGGACATAATAATGTGCTGTACTTAAATGACGTTCTAACGGATATGGTCACCGAGGGAAAAATGAGTCAAATGCACTGCAGAAAGCACCAGAATTGTATCTGTGTGTATTATTGCATCCGTTGGTTTTAAGAAGATAAGAAAATATTATGAAAATAGAATTTTCCTGATACGAAATTAAAATCAGTAGAAGATTTCGTAAAAATGTGATGCAAAGAGCAGACAAAAATAAACAAAATATTAATTAATGGTCTGAAACAGATCAATTTTTGTATTTTCGGTAAAAATACTTTTAAAATATGTTAGTATATCATATATTTTATGAAAATGAAAAAAAAAACGTATTATAAATGAATTATTTAAAATTAACTCATTCATATTGCTCTAGTTGAAAATTTTAGCCCTCTTTGCCAGCTGTTCTATTGCTTTGGTGCAAAGTAAAAATAAAAAAACGCACAAACCCCCATATTGTCGCGTCAGACGCGAATTATGCTAATTTTCATCACTTCCGCGTTTCAATTTCTTTCGCAGGCGAGCGCACCTAGTCTCTCGTGTCAGCTTGCATGTGCGCTATCTATATCCAGGCATCTGGCCTGCCACCCATGCTGCACATGACCCTGCCCTGGTAAAGAGGGTGCGTCGTGTCAAACGAGAGCAGCTATTTATGTGGGAGCTGCCGCTTTCCACAAAACCATTCCCCAAATTACCGAATACACGCTCGTAAAAATCAAAACACGCGGCTTTACAAATTTAACGGCTGAACTTTCGACACCCCCAAAGGCCTAAGGGCTGCGAGAATGAGAATTTCTTGTGGGAAGATAAGCAAAAACGAGAGTGAGAACCGTTTTTTCTTCTAAAATCTTGGGTTACTCATCGTAGTGACTGTGGGCGCCTAATTTCCGCGCTGAATCAACAACGAGTGGACAATAAGAGAGAGGTTTCTGTGGAATAATAATGTGACGTGTGGCGGAAATCCTGACGTCAAGTATACAAACCAGCGAGAAGAACGGACGATAAGTGTCGACTGCTAACAGAGAAAACGATTGGGACGAGATTATTAATTCAATTGGCGGCGCAGACAATAAACTGGAGAAGGTTTTTTTGCCATTGTTTTCTTTCGCTAACGAAATTTATGCCGACGCCGTGTTCGCATCACTTCGCCCAATTTGCGGCCGAGCAATAAAGTTAAGTGAGTGCGAAAGTGGTAATGGTGATGTGATAATTGTCAGCCGCTGATGGATAAGCCGCTTGCAATCATTCAAATATAGCGCTGCAGTCATGCCCAATTTACCGAGCGAGCACCTCGCCGTGAATTGCAGCGTCTGTTCATAAAAAGCAGTGCTTTATTTCAAAGTGCTCGGAAGTAAATAAATAAACAATACCAAAAGTTACTGCCTGCGGTTTTGGCTGATTTGTGCTTTTCGAAAGCAGTGATTTATTTATTTGTTGTGAAACGAGCGGAAAATTCTTACGAATTCAGCAGCTTTCTCTGTTTGTAAAATTTTGTCTATTAATTAAACCTACGAATCAAAAGGTTCATTATCTGCGTGGAATTGTTTGTTTATCGGGAGTGAAGAGAGATTTTGGCATGACCGGCTTTGGAAACTCTCCACTGGCCAGCGCTCTCGAGGCGTAACCGAAAAGTCCTCTACTTTTTTTGGAGTTTCTTTCTGCTGGCAACGCACCTTTTGCCCCGCGAGTCGTTTCCTATTCAAATATTGATACTTCCTCTGCGGGGCGCTGGACTGCATGTTAATTCGCGGCAGACCTGGCGCAGTGCCCGCTTCCCTAATGACGCGCCGAGTTTTCGCCGTCGCGCGCTTCCTATCAAAATTTAAATCACATATTACGTACATCGCAGTATTGTTTGTTGTTGGTGCCGTGGAAAAAGAATAATAAAATAAAAAACGACGACCGCAGCATAATCACCCGTGTGTAATAAGCAGCGTGTGGGAGTGGGAATTTCATCTTTTTTTCATACCTCTTCGCTCCGGCGAGGCAATCATATTTTAATTTAATATGCATCGTTACAAGGCACGACCCTAAAATGAATTCGCCAAGAGGGAGGATGGGCGTCGGAACTCTCAATCTTGCGCGCCTTATTTGGAGTGCGTCGCTGAGGGAGGATTTCCGCACAAAATGCGGTTGCAAATTTAAATCGTCAGCCAAACGTCCCGCATTAGTTCATCAGTCACTTGTGTTAAAATGATTTCAGCAAAAATGCGGGGTCGGCCTGGATATGGGTAACCAAGTTTTGTGGCTAGAGCGGTGAGGAAAAAGGTTATCTTGACTAAATGGCCCATATTTGAAGTGGATTCCGACGCTTTTGAGATAGGAATGCAAACTTTAAATTCCACTAACTTTAAATTTTTATTAAATTTTCAGCATAAATTGAATTTGGTTTTTAATTTTTTTATAGACAAAGATGTTTATATATATTATTATTTTTTTAAGTCATATTAAGTAATTAAGCTTAGGAATAAAGTCATATTAATAACTTCTATTTAAAACTAAAAACAATTTTCAATTATAGCATGACTAGTTAGTAATAACCTAAACGGTAATTTTTTTTTTTCAATTTCAAAATTGTCTCCCAGCCGTTTGTAATAGAAAAGCTCTTCAGAGGCATAAAATAGCAAGTTGGCCTGGGATTATTTATGCAATACTCGAGCAGGATATGTTTTTAATGCACATGTGCGCTCAGATGTTTCAGATCCTCGGGATGGAGGTTCTCGTGAGAGAAGAAGCGAAAAAAGTCATCCCCGCGCGTTCGACTCATTCCTCGTCGCTCTCCCAACAGTTGGGCAACCCAGGCCGCGCACTTTGGATATTTTTTGGGCGCGACCCGCAGCCTCATCCATCAGGAGTAAACAAAAACACGTTCTATTATTTTCCAAACACACTTCCTTAGGGGGGCGCAGTCAGTGTGTGACGAAAGAAAGACTGAGAGAGGAATGCTTGCACACGTCCCTAAAAGGCACCCTCCGCCAGTTTTTACTCAATCAGTACTTTGTGGCGACAAACAAAAGAACAAACGCTTGCAAAAGAGTTTTGGGATTGGGACATCGACGGAAGAGAAGGAATTCCACAGAAAGGCGAGATAAAAAAGAATGCATGGGGTTGAAATAGCTCAATATTTTCAATTTTGGTGGAAATTATTTAAAAATTTATGGAAAATAAATTGATTCAATCGCAGCGAGTTATAATTAGCTGAATCGGTAAGTAAAAATATTATATACCCGCGTGAGTGATGGAAAGAATGGAATTTACTTAGTCGGTTATTTTCATTCACACATTCTTGAGCGAGTGATTAATACGCCGCGGAATTGTGCTGCGCGATGCAAATCGAGTGAGTAACAAGCGAGCACCAATCGGCTGTGAAAGGTCACAACAATTAAATACCTTGACTGATATAGATAATCCAACTCGGCGCGAATGCAACTCAAGAGGCGACGGCGGACTCAGCGAGTGAATAATCCTAGATTAGCGCGAAGAAAAAGTTGTTATGCTACTCTTTCCGGCTGTGAATCAGTCTTTCTGCTCATAATGATTATTCAAGCGACGAGAGTGATTCAGACGGACAGACTCGCCTCCAGAGCTTCATGAGCAAAGTCCAGATTTGTTTTACATATTTATCAAGTTGATTGCGGTGGACGAAGAGCAACTGTGAGAGTAAATAATTTAACGCTTAAATTAATAACATTTCAATTCATCTCAAAAAGATCAAATTTATCTAGGATTTGTCTTCTAAATTTAGCATAAAAATCCAGGAATTTTTAAAAATTATTCTGCGCAGATTTGTTCAACTTCTTAATGCCAACCTGGCCGACAAGAAAATAAATCTCTGGAATATTCTCAAAAGTATCAGAATGCTCAAATTGGTTTCTAATAATCCTTCGGAGAAAAATAAACAATAAAAAAATTCAAAAAATAAACAGACCTTTACAGAATAGCGCAGAAACCACCTAATGCGCATTTTCATCGGAATCCGCACGAGGCGAAATCACACACACACGGCCAGGTTGCCACCATTTTTATTTTTTAATGGAATGCTGGAGGGCCACGCCAGGTTGAATGACTTGGACGGCTGGTGGCAAACGCAGGACTCGTTTTCGTTCCAAAGTCAAAAATTTCTTCTGCTTCCCATCACGCCGATACAAAGAAAGAAAATGAGCAGATGGCTAGACCATTTCCTTTTTCTCGGGGAGAAATTAACCACAGCTCATTAATTAGGCCCCTTCGTAAAGCAGGCGCCACGGACGAGTAACAGAAAATTCAAGTCTGTCGCAGCAAACCGTGAGAATCACCAGCCCACTTTACAAATTTCGGCGACAAGGCTGATTATTATGATTGTTTTCGGCACGACAGTATAATCGCTCTGGAAAATGAATTATTATTTCACTGATTGTGAAACCGGTTTCGTCGCCCAGACTAAATCACACGAGTTATGGGCTGTGCCATCGAGCTTACCCGAAGAACTTTGATTTAAAAAAGTAAAAACTAATTTGCTTCGGTTCATTAGAGAAATAATTGAGTTTCAAACAACGATCTTAAAGAGAGAAAAAACGGCCCTCCAAAAAATTTAAATATAACGTTGCATTTTTTTTTTTTTTTTTTAATCTGCACGGGGGTTATATATTTATAGCCTCCCCTGTATGTAACTGAAAACTGCAGAAATTTGCGAGGTAGCAACGTGCTCGTTTTGGTCGGCGACTTGTACGATGGGTTCAGGATCATGCAGCGCGCCCAGCCGAATTTCAAGGCTACCCAAAGTGAAAGATGCTTCGAGCCAAGACTGGTGCGAAAAAAAAATCGCCGCTCTCACCTGCCGGGCTGTGCCACCCTCGGCGCCGGATGCGCTTGTTTTCAAGCGGAAGGGCCCAAGGAAGGGCCTCGTGCTCGGCTAGGTACATAAAATTGTAGCAGGGCGTGATACTCACTTGTAAGGGTCGCTCCACTCGCGATCTCGAACTATTGGCAGGTCAGATTCTGCGGCATCCAACTGATATCCGTGCTTGTTGATGGCGCAAAGCGATGATCACTCTACCGACCTCAACTATCACCACACTCGGTAGCTCGAGTTCTGTTACTAAATTCGTATTAAACGCTAAACAAGCGGTGGTTTGACGTTCCACTCGGACCTCTCGCGTGTACAGTACGCCGGCTTTCTGTTCTGCGTCTAAAGCGAATGCTGTTTGATGTTGCGCCGCGCGCCTCCTAGCCCGCGCCCCATTGGCCAGAACCATTGCGCATAACTAATAACTCGACGCCATGTCTGTACCAACCTGACAAAGCTCTCGCACCTCAGGGTGTGGCAGGAAGGTGTCACCAAATATCTTAAGATCTTCGTGTTTCCCCGTAAAGACGCCAATATTTGTATTTGTTCTTAATTAAGTTGAAAACAAACTTTTTAAGCAATGATATAACAACGGTTCTACCGTGTTATACTTGGCCAATTATCAACTAAAAGTACTATCAATGCTAGAAGTTTTTTATACAAGTTGGCGCTTTTGAAATAGAGGGAAATTTGAATTCAAATGAAAATAGATGGGGTCGATAAAGCATAATGCAATGACTCATAGGGAATTAAAATGATGAATTGTTAACGCGGACAAAGGGGATTGCTTGTATTAGGGATGAGGGCGAGGGAGACTATCGGTCAAGCTCATAAAAGGGGAGAGAATAAGACTGGTTTTTTTTCTATTTTTTGATTGCCAATTTATAAATAAGTAGCTAAAATTTTGGTTAATATATAATAGTAAATTAATATCGTTGAAATGAAGTAAAATAAAGGCTTTAATTTAAACATGAATCTTAAATAAATATTTCAAAACTTTCAAAAGCTTCAAAAATTCTTTGCCGTGTTATTGAAAAAAAGGCAGGAGATCTGCTGCTTTAGCCGTTCTTTTCATTTTGATGAAATAGGTAAGATTAGATGTCAACTGGAAATGCGATTGCCAGGAAAACCAAGCTTTTCTCCGGAGCCAATTTGCAGAATTTGTGCCAAAGAGGTATTTTCTTATTCCAGTTAAATTTAGATAATTTTAACAGGCTGCCTTGCACGCCCTCACCATTGATGGGATGCAAGTGGAATAAGTTCAACACAAACACTTTGTTTTGCAGAATATGAAACTGTCGTTGTCGAGTAAATGCCTAGATTATTGGTTTACCAAATACAAACCAGGAAACTAATAAAATGTGTTTTTATGAAATTCCTTTATTTATTTCGTCTTATTGAACCACTTGTCGGGATTATTTGTGCGCTCCCAGTTGCGTCTAATTTTGCTCTCTCGATGGGCATATCTCTTGGTGATTTATTCTTCTTCCTCAGTCTTTCCCACTCCTTTTGATTTCATGTACAAGCTCATGGCAGCTTTATCATCACAAATCTTTGAAAATGAAATAAAAAATCGTCACGAGAAAATATAATGAACTTACAAAGTCATGTTCATCAGTTTGAATTTTGATTTCCAGAAGTTTTTTCAGTTAAAAACTTGAGACTGGGTTTTTCTGATTTTAGCTGTTTGAATGGCTCTTAACTTTCAAAATAGTGTTATTTTTAAGTGATTAATTGCAAAATTATTCCCAAAACTTACTTGGAAGTGTCACTGATTCTGCTATGACTGATGAGTATATAACAGGACTTTCATGTCGTTCTTATTAATGTCGTGCCTAACCATAATCCTCCTGTGTCATTGTGTCAATCAAACCAGCCTTTCTCCTGTGCTTTTTCTTGAGGTCGGCTCCTGCAAATCAACAAATGTAAACAAATGATTTTTTAATTAATGAGCAAAAACAAAAATACCTGTTTCCAAATCGGATGGTCAAACTCCGGAGAACTATTGTCAGTGATTAAATTGGCTCCAGGGGCTTCACAAAAAGTCGTACGAAACCTCATTGAACTTTTGGACCACAGACCCTCTGGCTAAAAGGTTTTCTCTTATCCGTTGTCTCCACCTCCGACCATCTCTCAGTCAAGAGAGCAACCAAATCTGTTAAACTGAAATTTACATTAGCTATAAATAATTACATGTAATAATTGATGCAAATTTAATGTAAAATATCATACTTGTTGGAAATTTTATTTGGTTTCGTCTTTTCCAAGCTGGCTTTCCCACTTTCATGCAGCTTCTAAGATGTTTTTTGACACATGTGGACCTAATAATTTAATCTAGTACATACATAATTCAATGGTTTGACAAAAGATCCTTAGCTCTAAAAGAACCATAAGGCACGAGAACTGAGAACAATAACAAAAATAAAAAATATAAATACATTATGTGCCTATAAAAAAAAAAAAAAAATTAATCAAGAAATTAATCTTGCTGGTTTGCTTGCTTAGGCAGTCAGTGACATCTGTATTTCTTATCCAGCACTCAAAGCGTTTTACACCTCGGAATTCTCGGAAAGTTTCAAACGAATAGCGCTGTTCGCGCGCTCGGCAAGCTCGACTCGTTTGAAAACAACATCGCAAAGGCAAAAGTGAACTCTGGTGATATCACTCTCGATCAATACATAAGAAATTTTGTTAGTTCGAGTCGACAAAGTGTGATTTTAACTGCCTGAAGAACTGGGCAAGCCTTAGCATGGACTTTAACGTTAAGAAATTTGTTGGCGAAGCGGGCACGGCCTTCAGTCGACTCGTGCAGGTGAGCAAAATCGACAGAGACGAACCTGACACTTCGTCCCCTTTTTGTAGCTTTTCTCAAGTGCTCGTTTGAAAAACCATTTTCTAGCTCACGGAAGAAAAACTGGGCACATCAGAACGGACAGAGTTAGACTCACACTTTGAAAGTCTGCTTGAACGCTCAGATGCGACGAAAATGTGGACTGAAAAGCTGCTGAAGAACTCCGAAGCAGTTCTTACACCGAATCCAGGTGATTGTCAAAATTGATTTTTTTTTTCAATAAAATATATTTATTAAAAACAAGCATATCAGATCTAAAGCATGGTGTGATTTATAATTTTGAAAAAACATTATTAAATAGTAATCTGATTTTTCAACCTTCTAGACGTTTTTTTTTTCAAAAAAATGTCGCATCAGTATGTCGAGTCTTCCTTGTGAGTTTTCCTTAAAATTAAAAATTACAACAAGCTATCAAAAAGATCCACGCAAGTGCGAGAGACTTGAAATGTGCTTAAAAAAATTACAATTTGCCACACACTAATTTTATGGCTCGTATATTTCAAGTGATTTTTATTTTTTCAAGTTGCGTACAATATAGAATAAGTATTTTTTAAATTCAAATAATGCAAACATTAATCGTTACTTGCAGGGTACCGTGTTGAGGATTTCCTGTTTGAAAAAATTGAAAAGAAGCGGCCAAACAGACTTACCAATTTAGAATACCTTGGGTTGGACATGATGGAAGCAGGAAATGTATTTGGTTCCAGCTCACCCTATGGTTTGTTGAATAGAATTATATGATGTTTGAATTGTGCATTAATAGATTTCTGTAGGGAGTTCCTTGATCAAAGTGGGACAGATCGAGCAAAAGTTAGGTACGACAGAACGAGAGTACATCGGAGCCGTCAATCAAAGTTACATAATGCCCTTGAGGAAGTTCCTTGACGGTGAGATGAAAACTATAATGAAGGAAAGAAGCATTCTGGAAAATAAAAGGTGATTTTATTGAAACTACGAATGCAATTTTTATTTATTATGGCTTTTTAATTTTAGGATCGATTTGGACGCCTGCAAAAACAAACTGCGTAAAGCCAGGAGCATCCAAGGCCAGCAAGCGGTAAGTTGTCCACATTGAATTAAGTTGTCATTTTTTTTTTGGGAATCTTCTTGGTTTTCTCTTTTGCTTCCTCTAATACAATTCTTTGTGCTTTTACTTTTTGCGCACTCACTAAATAGGCCCAAAAGGACGGATTGAATCCTCAAGTTGTGATGGAGCAGGTAATATTTGTATCTGACAAGAGTAAACCAGAGTCAGCACTGTTGCGCAGCCCCTGCACCGCATGATTGTTATTGTATTTGAAAACATTTTATGTGGCTGCTACTGAATCTTTTAAAGCTTCAAAAATATAATTCATATTCAAATGAGTTATTTTTAAGCTTGCTTGTATTTTTAATGTTTTAAATATCCATCTTAGAACTTTTAATCTAATTGAAAAATGCTTCACGAAATGTTAGTCCAAGCTAGACAATCTTTATCGTTTGATAAATTTCATATTGGTCTTCAATATTTGCAAGAAATTTTGCAGAGAATTTTTTTTAAACAAATTTTTTTCTAGGAATTAATAGTTTTTCTCAAGCTATTTTATGCTAGTGCAGCTTTGAGAAAATATTTTAAATGTGCCTTCATGCCTATATTGTCAATTATTATAATTGGGTTGACAGCTATAAATTGAAACTGAATATTTCAGGCGGAGCGTGAACTGAGAGTGGCTCAAGCAGAGTTTGATCGGCAGGCGGAAATCACAAGGCTGCTCCTAGAAGGGATTTCCAGCAGTCACGCCTCACACTTGCGGTGTCTGCACGAAATGGTGCAGGCGCAGGCCAACTACCATGCCCAGTGCAACACCATCATGCAATCACTGGCGACCGAGCTGGCAAAGTGAGTCTTTTTAATTTTGATGTAAAAAAAAGAATAAGTCGGATTTGCACTTCATCAAATAGTAGCTCGCATTCACTGAGAGCTTTAAAGCTTCAAATTTTTGCTTCCGGAGTTTGGAAAATTTACGGAATGAAAAATAATTAATTGCAAAATATATTCTTCACTAACATCTAAAAAGACTAACACAGACCAACATATTAAAATACAAGTAATTTTCTCATTTGCAAATCTTATTTTTAATTCAGTAGCTATTCTTGCCAAGTGATTTCAATTATGCTGTGTTGAGTGCTCTTTACATTAAGTATCTGATAATAAAAACATAAGTTATGGGATTAGCATGTGAGTGTGTGTTTGGTGGTGCTGTTGCAGCTCTTTAAAGCCCCAGCCTGCACCCATGTTGCGTGTCAACAGTGAAGAACTGGAGGTCATCAGCCCCTCCTCGAGTCCTGTAGTTGATGATAAATTCACGTCCTTCGCTGCTTTTAAATCCACTCATGTTCCTTAAAAGCCTGATATTTATTGCAACGGGCTTGCATGATGAGAAATTTGTGTCCTTTTATCTCTCATTCGTCTCAATTTTGGACTTTTGTGTTTTGCTTGCTCATATTACATAATGATAAATTGTTGATGTTTTTTATATGGTCAGTTTGGCACAAAAGATTTTAACTGTTTGAACTAAAAAAAAAATGAATTTTTTGCTTTCAAAAGCGCAAGGGATGTTAACTCTGTCAACTATTCCAAATCCGTGTTTTCCAAACTGCACATAATCGAAAATCATGCAAGCTTCCAAGAATGAGTCTAGTCGAAAAGACGGCTACTTGGTTGTTCACTCAATGAGACAATACTATCCAAAGGCATATTATATTCTCCAGCAAAATGCAACACTCATAATTGAAAATCGATCTCGTTCTGTTTTATCTTACTATATTATATTATACACTAATACTCTTGTTAATATACTTGTTAAATTTAATTCTGTTTCTGTTGCTTTTTCTAACAGCTATTGAAACTGTTCTATATTTTTTTTCAACCTCTTTTAACTCTATTTAAGCATGTATTGACAATTAACAGTTGTGTTGTGCATGCTTTTTTTTAATAATAATGACAGATCTTACACGATTTCAAACACCAATGTTACGGAATATCAAAACGAAACGAAATAGGCGAACATAGATTAATATTAATTAATATCTCAATCTTATCAAAAGAGTTGATATATATATATATCATCATGTACCCGGGTACAACGAAACGCAGTCTCTGTAGTCAAAATATTTAGCTTAATATAGCCGCAGTCTGGCCAAATTTTATCAGCCATTGTTTATAATGTTAAGCTAAAAACAAAACAATAATATTTTATGTCTTTCAACCTTGATGGAGTGTCAGAGAGTATTAAATTTGAAAATAGAGTACAGTAGAGCGTAGTTTACTCTAAAATTTAATATGTGCAATGCAAAATATTGAAAAATTCTCTGACATGCCTTATTTGTAAAATAATTTCATTCAAATATATAGAAACATTAAATAACAATGTAAAATTATTAACGTTAAAAAGAATATTCAATTTCTTAAATTAAACAAACTGACCCTTGTCCCGAGATCAATTTCAAAATGAAAGTGAGAATAGGTTCTGTGTAGATTTTGATCTTAACCAATACAAATAAGCTAATAATATAGACCGTCCATAAGCCATGTGAGATTACACGTTTGTTTCATTTTTCTGTTGTTTAACACAAGTGTGTAAATTTGTAATATTGCTTTAATCATCTAATAGGCAATGTAATGCCAAATAATTTATAATAATCCTTAAACTTTGCTCTCACAGTCTGCCTGTTTTTGGGTGTGTTTTCAAACAATCATATATGTACTAGTAGATGTGTTTTTATTGCCACCGCTTGACATTTTGGCCCTCCATCCTCCATAGCGCCTCCCACGGAATGTCACCAACACCTGCAGCCACCTTGTCCACGCCACAGCCCTCGGTCGCTACTTTGGTTCTCAACAGCGAATCATGGACGAAGGCCAGAGTTCTGTGTGACTATGATGCCAATGCCCATTTTGAATTGAGTCTTATGGCTGATGAGGTAAATTTCATTGAAATTATTGAAAAATGAAATCATTATTATATCATCTGTCCTTGTATATTCTAGGTAATAGATGTGGTTGTCGACGATCCGGCAGATTCCGATTACGTAATTGGACAACGGGGAAGTCAGCGAGGGAAAGTACCAAGAGCTTTTCTTGAACCAATTTCCTAATAATCCTAGGCCACTGAATATAACTAATGCTCCTTTCTTACTCTGATCCAAATTTCAATCACATGATTATACATTTACTGCACGCTAAGCAATAATATACTGTTTGATGTTGTTTTTTATCTCTTCGAGATGATGATATTGAAATTCAATTACATTATACAAAAACAGCAGCTCAGCATAAAATTATCTTGTCAATTCAAAAATATATTGAAAAAAAAGTTGTTTCTTTTTAGTTAAAAGTTGAATAATGTTGATTACACTGTTGTTGTTGGCAAACCTTCAAAGGCAATTCAATTCATATATTTGAAGATTTCCATGCTCATGTGATCTTGTTAATTTTACAAAAAATATGATTTTGAAAATATTGAGTCATTTAGACTTTATATACCAAAGATTAGGACATTTTAAATATGCATACTCCTCCTTGTTCTTTTCGTTAAGTCTGATCTAAAAGAGATATATACTTATATAATTTATGATACAGTTACAGTTTAATGAAATCTTTTGTTCGAGTTAAATGCACTGTTTCCAGAAAATATTATAGTTGCTCCAAATGATTGGAAACAAGTGAGTCACATAAAATTTTCAAAGGTTTAAACAGAGAAAATACTCTGATCAAAAAATATGTAATTAATTAAGAGTTTGTCACAAAAGGTGGATCTTCACTTTTGACAATGATCCGATATTGTTCATTTACAGAGATCAAATTTTAGGAATTGCGGTGTGTATAAACTCTTGTGATTTTTCATAGATGTGGAAATCAATTGAAAAATTTTATTAAAAAAAGTATATATGAGTTATATATATGAAAAGTATATTGGATTATTGTATCCTTAAAAATTAAATAAAAACTTGAATCATATAATGTTACCTTGTGTTGTTTTACCGGCTTTGTCTTCTTTTTCATTATTATGATTAATACTGATTAATACATTACAAATTTCACTGGCCAGTTATTTACAGTCACAGAGTTAAATTTAGCCCATGCACTATGAAGGATGAAACCTTGATAATTTATCTTTTATTTGATTTTCATTATTAAATAAAATAGTCCTCATTTGACGTTTATAAATTTTTTATTAAGCCTATTGTGATTAATGCTTAGAGGAAAAAAAAATTGATAAAATGTGCATTACAAATTGCTGCGTTAATTCAATTATACTCGCATATTTTAAGTGCAGCAAAGCAAAGCATAAACAATACTAAAATTTTGGGAACGAAAGAAATAATTTTGATAATTTTATTACATATGCCTAAACTATTAATCTTCCCGCTCTTTCTTGATTTAGCAACCATGTTTTGTTCCTCTCCCGACACTCCCACTAAAAATTCCCACTCCACCAACTTTTTTGCCGCCACAATTGTGCTTGTCTGGTTTTAGCGACCAATTTCCTGCCATTTTCATTCTACTATTTCTCACAGAGACATCGTAAGACTTAAATAATCTTTAACCGTTCATCCGCAATTAATTATTTTTCAATCAGATGCTCCGCTTTGCCAAACTGACCGAAAACGCCTTCGCCCCGTTGAAGGGATCCGAAAAGGCAGCCGGTATTGATCTTCGAAGGTATGTGTACTTATTTTTAGACTTTTTAGAGCAAATGTTAACAGAAATTTATATTAATTTACCCGTTCTTGCAATTTTTTCAGCGCCTATGACTGCGTTGTGCCTGCTCGAGGAAAATATCTGGTCAAAACTGACCTACAGGTTGAGGTTCCACCTGGCTGCTATGGCCGTGTTGCCCCAAGGTCTGGACTAGCCCTCAAGAATTTCATTGATGTTGGAGGTAAATCAACATTGTTTCAAATTTTTAATGTAATTTTGTATACAAGTATAATTATTTAACAATTTCCAATAATTGGCATGTAACATTCTATTCAGAAAATTCTAGATAATGCTAAAATATGTGACGCATAAATTTCAGCTGGTGTGGTGGACGCCGACTACCGTGGAAATCTTGGAGTAGTTTTGTTCAATCATGCTGATGAGGAATTTAAAGTTAGTAAGGGAGACAGAATTGCTCAGCTCATTTGTGAAAGGTGCATCATTCCAGAAATTTTGGAAGTTAAGGTATGTCGACTACTATAATAAAATCAAGGCCGCAGGCCTAATTATTTTATTTCTTAGTCTCTGGAAGAGACTGCTAGAGGATCTGCTGGATTTGGATCAACTGGTGTTCACTGATAGCCTGATTTTGGACTGATTTCATATTATAATTTCAAACTCTCCAGTCTCCACATTTTTCAACTTTAAACCTCCTAATGTAAAGTATTAGCTATAACCTGTTGCTGCGATAAAATGTAAGGTAGAATATAATTACCACGTATCTTCAACAATAATCTCACTGAATTTATTTCAAAATTCAAATTCATACGAGGTTGGATTACTAATCTTATCCTCCTTCTTCGGCATGGCTTTCCACCTTACATTTTTCTTGAAAGTCATCATATCGATAAAATCTTGGTGTTGTTTGCTTGTTAATACGACCTTGAGATCAGCAGTTGATTTCATTATTGCAGCACAGCCTCTTAAATCTCCCAACTGACCTGCAATTACATTTAAAAATAAATTGACTGGAATTTATCTCTAGCTGTAAATTCAAAACCAAGTTGATTTCAGCTCTAAAACTGATTATAAATAATTTTTGAACTCTGTCACTGCAGAAGAACCTAATGCTTGCAAGAAAAAATTAAATTGGATACGAACATTTATAATCAAAAAGTAGTCTTATAGGCACAGTCAAATGCGAGTGAAGTCCTGTTGAAATAAGGTCCTCGATCAGCCCCTGCACCAGCTCAGGTTTACCTCTGCCAAGGGCAGAATAGGTTGCAGTCGCCAATTTCTTGCTAAAAGTCTCGGTCAGTTTTTTATTTTTTGAGATTATGTGCAGCAATTCTTTTGCCACCTGCTGGTCGCTGAACCACTCGCTAATAAAGCACGCATGCCAGAGAAAAATCATTGGCCGATTGTCACCAAACGAGTAGTTAATTCTTAACACGAGTTGTTTGCACTGCACCAACAAAGCTTCACTACAGTGATTACTGACCACATCTCTTATTATGGTGGCTAAGTAACTTCTTGCTTCTCGTCGAGAGTTTGGGTATTTAGTGTAAAATTTGTCAACAACCTTAAGTGCTTTGGCGCTTTGGTTTGACGTTTTGTAAACTTTGAATAGGTCACCAATGAAGTTGTGGTTTGGTGGGATTGGAAGACGTTGACTAGTTGCATGGAGCTGAAGAACTCCATCAGAAAAGTCTATTCTTGCAAAAGTAGTGGCGAGAGTGTCGAGTAAGCTGGAATCGACTTTTGAGAGGATTTCAGGTGATTCCAAGATTTTTAGCATTTCGTCCTCGTCAAACTTCTCTCCGTCAATCGCTAATTTGAGAAAGCTGATGGGGTAGATTTTCTGTTTTTTTGTTAAATCCTCCTCTTCGGATGCTAAAACATTACTCATGATTGTGGTGATCAACTTTAAATTGAAGGCAGAAGTTCTTTTCAACTTTTGCTTGTTTTTCCATAGATCGGCTTTGTTCGAAACTAGCCTGTTTACGAATGATTCTGTGTCACTCTCGTCTTCATTGTTTTTTATTGGCTCAACTGCTTTGTTTTTCAAAGAAGACATACGTCGTGCAGCTAGAAAGGAAATTTGATTGGCAAGCAACAGGCGGCTGGTGAAATTTATTTCCTTAAGCAGGGCCAAGATTGAAGCCATATTGCTCTTATGTTCAATGTCGTCTCAACATCCAGATTATAGCATCATTGATGATTTCTGTAAGAAAAAAAATTATGATATCAACCAATGTCTATTAAAAGTATCTATTGTATTGCATAAAATAAAATTTTGAACTTAAAGGATATCACTTTCAATTTACAATACAAATCTTTTTTCTTTACTATACACACACGATGAATACATACATACGTACGATTTAATTCCATTTCCTGTACTCCTGCAGTGTGAAATTTATTTGATTTTTTGTCTTAACATGTATAATTTGATGCAAAAAACTGCGTACCATTCCTTACTGATACAAAATCGGGTAATTATCACTTCACATTATTTCTTGTTTCCTTTTTTTATGTTTACATAATGTAGTTATGGCTTTTGGGAACAAGAAAAGGGGGTGTGGTTCAGGTCATTGAACCTTTCACCAGTAATGCAACATTTTGTATTTTTAGGATAATTTAAAAAGTTTTAAAAATTTATATCCTGGCAGAGAAACCTAGTTTAATTTTTATCTTTCAATAATTTTTTTTGAATAAAAATCACTTTTAAGAGATTAATATTGTTTTAACCTTTTTTTGATATAGTTTAAATTCTGTGACGTTGGCAATGAGAAATGAAATGTGCCAGCTGATTTTACTACGGTGATTTCTGTTTTCTGTTCTAATTTCTGATTTGCTGTGTACAAAACGAGTTTTCTGTAATTTATGTGAATTATTTTTCTTTTTCTCCGTGGTCTAGCGCTAAACTTGTTTTTTAACAAGTAGACTTTCGGCCCAGCAAGTTGAGCCTTGTATGTACGCAATTATCCCACCACAGAGAGCTTCAGTTGTATTTTTTAAAACATTTATCGCCTCTGTACGCACTTGTGGGTAGATAATGTAGGTTGAGTTTATGTATTCAGACCTTCTATGCAAGTCGTTTATTACTCACTCTAAGAGGAAGACTAAAGAAGAGGAATACAAAAGGTTGCCAGGGCCTTACCAAAATTGCAGCAAACAAAAAATAATGTGATCACAAGGCCGTTTGATACCCAAAATGGAAAATCAAACGGACTACTTATCAAAATTGCCTATTGAGGTAAGAGCAATTTTTACTTGGTTGTATTTTTAATTAATATGTATTGTATTCACTTTTACAAACCTAGATTTTCTTATACATTTGCTCGTTTTTGGATGTCAAAAAATCTCTTCCTGCCTTGAAATGCACTTGCAAGCGACTGAACGAAATTCTTTGCGACGAGCTGGTTTGGAAGTCCAGGGTAGCTGGTCGATGGCTTCCTAATGAAAAAGGTATATGTAATTTTTAGTAATAGTAGCAAATATATTAAATCAGCTGTTACATATTTCATTAGAAACGGAGGTAGACTGGAAAGAGGCATGCACTTGTGTTGAAATTGAAGCTTCCTATTTACGAGAACCAACGACTTGTGATCAGATCGTATTTCGTAAAGCGCACGAATCTGACATTGACGCATTGCATATTTTGGAGGTATGAATTTTGTGCAAATAATAAAAAAAAAATATGTTACGAAATTAATATTTATAATCTTAGAACCACCAAATTCTATTTACTGGCTCTCGTGATGGCTTCATCAAAATCTGGAACATCAACAAAGAGAAAAAGACTCTAGAAAAGTCAATGATTTTACCTGGAGCTCACAATGGATGGGTTTGGAGAATTGCTTCCGAAAGTTCAAGGCAAATTTTCTCCTGCAGCTTTGACCACTCCATGAAGCACTGGAACTTCAATGAAGATAAACTGACTGAAATTTGGAATCTTGAGTAAGCCTTGTTAAAAGTTCAAATTTCACTATCGAATTAATATTTTTTTTAAATTATAGTTTGAAAAAACCTGTGATGTCGTTGATAGTAGTAGACGAAAATTTGATTGCTGCTGGTTTGCACAGTGAGGTTGCCTTGGTGGATCGAAGGCAGGGAACGGCCATCAGGCACATCTTTAAAGATAACTTTGTGAAACTTAACTTGGCGTTAATCAACAAAAACATTCTGGTCTCGAATGGTGTTGGAAAGAAAATTTGCCTCTATGACCTGCGATATGATAAAGAGGCCTTCTGCCTCTTTGACTTCAGCAAGGAAAAACCTGTGGTGCCCATGCATTTAGCTGTCCAGCAAAACATTCTCTATGTCTCCGATAATAAATCCAAACTTTATGCTTGTGATGTCACTAAAGAGGAACCATTTTTAATCAAAGTAAGATTTTCATTTTGATAATTGTCATTTTTATTTTATATTTTTTAAGGAGTATTATCCACCGGAGGGAGAAAGGATGAAAGTTATCGGAATGTTTGCAAGCTACACTTCTCTCATCATGGGACTGAACTACAACAAATCAGGCCACATTGCATTTTGGAGACCGAGAGCATCTGCTACTTCAGAAGACGAGAGATATCCTGCTTTGAGAAAAGTCGGGGAGTTTCACAATATAGGAGACTTCAATGGGTTGTGTAGTGTATGTCAATTCATTGATGGCTTAAATGCATAATTGTTAATTTTTTTTCATTTTTATTTTAGCAAATGCATCACAGGGATGGGATGATTGTATCTGCCAGCATTGCTGAGAATGATTTGGTTTGTGTCGTTCCGAAAGATTTCTAGTGTTTGCAGCAGTGCAGAATGGATTAAATAAATTGAATCTTGCAGCTGACACCTTTCAAGCCATAGCAGAGGTCGGTTGGCAAGGAGTCGTGGATTTCTTTACAAAAAATCAGGTGAAGAGCACACACGATTTAACAGATTTTGGTGGTCAAAAATGTTCCTGGAAATATTGAATATCTCTGGTTCTATTTGAGATACTGAAATGCGGCGAGAACCAAAAATTTTCTTTTTATATCCTCTTTAACCCTGAGAAGTCAAATAATTCAAGAGGTCTACGTCATAATGTATGGGTTACATATGCTAAAACATTCTAGCAAAAATATGCCACTTTTGATTCTTTGATCGGGCTAAAAAATTTTAAAATTTAGGAACAACGTATATATTTTAAAAATTCAGGATGGCATCTTTTTTAGATTTTTTTTTAAAATATCACAATATTTTAAAAAAACTAAAAGATTTTCACATTTTGCCGATGATCAAAAATTGATTTTGAGAAAGTACTAATATAGATAAATAAACTTATTTATTTTTTGACGATTCGATCATTCCTAAATTATCAAAAAATCTCTTAAAAAAATTTCTGGCCAATGGCAAAAATTTGAAATTTTCACGTTTTTTATTTTACCTGTGATTTTTTTTTTTCAAAATCTAAGAAGATGCCACATCCTGAATTTTTAATATTATTCATATTATTTTTTGTTCCTCCATGTTAGGTCTATAATATTTGAAAATATTTTCAGCCTAAACAAAGGTGGAATGTTTTTGCACTTGGGAACCCTACAAAATGAATTTGGCCTCTGAATTATTTGACCTTCAGGTGCTTCCAGGGTTAAAGAGGAGGTAGAAAATTTTTTGGTTCCAGCCGCATTTCTGTATCTCAAATAGAACCTGAAATATTCAATTTTGAAGTTGAAACTACAGTGGCGTTTTCCAACTTCACCAAAATCTGTCTAATTATGCGTACTTTTTACCTGATTTTTAGTAAAGAAATCCATGACGACCCCTTGTCAACCGACCTGTGCTGTGGCTTTAGTTTTAATTTTTCAAGATTCAAAAAGTGTTTACGTAATGCACTTATTGTTATGTGATTTTTTTCTGGATTATTTCCTTGTTAAATTATTGCTCACTATATAAATATACAAAATAATTTTGCAGTCCTTTTCAGCAAAACCTTAAACTTGTGTAACTTCACCCCCACTGACGATAAAGACTAATGCATTTAAAAATCCACCCTAAATAATAATAACTGTTGTTAAATTATTATTTATTATTATTAATTTAATTTATAAAATTAATTTTTTTAATTAATCCACAGGTTTTTAAAATTTAACTTAAGCCGATTCATTGCAACAACTTTTTAAATATTTATTTGTTATGCATTAACAATTTTTATTTGTAATACACAGTTATACATAATATTTGATGATCTATGCTAATGTGTAGCTTTAAAAAAATGAATGTTTTCTTTGAATTACTTCGTTGTATTTTTTGTATCGCTCACACAGCTAAAATAATGCGGAATTAAAAATATAATTAAATAAATGTTCCAATTTCCATAAATTAAAAATTATTGTATTTGCATTAATAATTATTTTTTACTAATTTAATTTAGTCTAATTTTTTACAATTTTGAGTCTAACGTTTTGAAATAATGTTGATGTTTATATTCCTGCAATCAATTGCAATATCGACATTGACTTTGATTTACTAAAGTTTTAATTTAAATTTTAAAATTATATTTACGTCCATGGCTTCTTTTGATACTCGCGCGGACTCGTTTTTTGGTTTTTGGCCATTGATTGGAAGCATATTTAGTAATACCAACTTAATTGTACATTCGTATCAAAATAAATAATGTGCGTTTTACCAGAAAATAATTTAAAATCTCAGTTTATTAAAATAAATAAAAATTTATAATCAGATTCATTTCCTGAGTAACATATTGGCTGGCTAAATAAAGTAAAATCGCATACAATGAAATTTAAGAAACTTTTTCTCGAGTTGGTACAACGGCACAAGAAGACAATCGACCCGACAAGTCGGCGAGTGAAACTCCGTGCACATATCATTTAAATTTTGAAATTCATTCGGTAAGAGCGATTTGATCACATTTTAGCCACTTCCATTCTCTAAAGTGGTAAATTATCTATCAAGAACCGTCTTATAGTTACCCGGAAAGGTTGAGGAACTAAGAGGATCCGTGCGTTTTCGTCCCGCACGCTAGGTAATGTCATCGAACATGGCGTGGCAGCCTCAGGAGGAGGGCTTGATGCAAATATTGCAGCTTTTGAAGGAATCACAGTCACCCGACAACGTTATTCAGCGAGCAGTGCAACAAGTATCCTTTTAAAGAATTCAATGCTAACAAATTTTGCCCCACAAGGTCCAAGAACCAAGAGGATTTGGGTGCTTTCCTGAGTCGCCCTTATATTGATCGGTCAATGCTCTCCCCAAATAAAACGATGCTTGCCTCAAGCATCTGATGCTAACATGACCTTAAATTAGTTTTAAATTTACGGACCGCCATATCGATACTTGGAAAATGTCTATTCCCGGACTTTAATCCTTGGACGGGAGAAGCGCATTGTCCAGTCTTTTAATACAAGAGACCCTACTGTGGTAACAAAAACCGCAAAAGGATTTTTTATAAGACCGACTGTCGGCGACTGTGTAATTTAAATGGAAATTTTTATGCCCGATTTTCCTTGATTTGCCGTACAGAAATTGGAAGAGCTAAACAACTTCCCTGATTTTAACAACTACCTTATTTTTGTGTTAACAAAGCTCACAAGTGAAGGTAATATAAAAATGCTGACTGACTTAAAAAATTTGTAATCATGAAACCCTTTTTTCGCTTTAGATGAACCAACACGCTCTCTTAGTGGGCTTATCTTAAAAAATAATGTCAAATCATACTTCCACAAATTTCCACCTGAAGTTACGGAGTTCATCAAACAGGTTGGTTTTAAAGACTATAAATAATTGAGCCTTGTAATTATTAAAATTTTAAAATCAGGAATGTTTGTCCGCTGTTGGGGATCCTTCTCCTTTAATAAGGGCTACTGTAGGTATCTTAATCACCACCATTGCTTACAAAGAGGAGTTGATCCATTGGCCTGCTTTGCTTCCCGCTCTGTGTCAAATGCTGGACTCGCACGACTACAATGTTTGTGAGGTAAATTTCTTTTATGCTTCATTTTTTTAGCAGAGTCAATATAATTCATTGTATTTTAGGGAGCTTTCGGTGCATTGCAAAAGATCTGTGAAGACTCGGCTGAACGACTTGATAGTGACGCATTGAACCGACCTTTGAACATTCTCATCCCAAAATTCCTTCAGTTTTTCCAACACAACAGCCCCAAAATCAGGTCTCACGCTATCGCCTGTGTCAATCAATTTATCATTGGAAGGACTCAGGCTCTGATGTTGCACATTGACTCGTTTTTAACGGTATTTATCAATTTGAACTTTTTTTATTGTTGTTCAACCTTGAAATTATTTAGAGTCTTTTCCATCTGGCCACCGATGATGATCCTGAAGTTAGGAAAAATGTGTGCAGAGCATTGGTCATGCTTCTCGAAGTTCGAATGGACAGACTTATCCCACATATGCACAACATTATAGAGGTAAATTTGCTGAGATAAAATTAATAGCGTGTCTGATCAATTGAACTTTTATTTCAGTACATGCTTCTGCGGACCCAAGATCCGGATGAGGGTGTTGCACTTGAGGCCTGCGAGTTTTGGCTTTCGCTTGCCGAGCAGCCTGTTTGCAAAGATGCTCTAGCACCGCATCTTAACAGACTTGTGCCAGTCCTTGTTCGAGGAATGAAATACTCAGAGATTGACATAATTTTGTTAAAAGTGAGTAGTGTTTTGTTTATTCATTAAAAGTAGTTATTTTTTATTTTGAAGTGAATCGTAAGATAATATGTCAATTAAAAACTAAGAATAGGCTTAAAATACTTTCAGATTTTCAGGTGAAAGTTATTTACTAATGTTAAAATTGAATTATCAGGGTGACGTAGAAGAAGACGGAATGGTTCCGGACAGAGAAGAGGACATTCGACCCAGATTTCACAAGTCACGAACTCACACCATAAAACATGCTGAAGAAAATGGCGATGGTGAGGAGGATGATGATGATGATGTCATGGATGATGACAATTCACTCTCGGACTGGAACCTCCGCAAATGCAGTGCTGCTGCACTTGACGTGCTTGCCAATGTCTTCCATGAAGAGCTACTTCCAGTGCTGGTGCCTATTTTGAAGGAGACGCTGTTCCATCAGGAGTGGGACATCAAGGAGTCGGGAATCCTAGCATTGGGTGCCATCGCTGAAGGATGCATGCAAGGAATGATTCCGCATCTGCCTGAGCTCATTCCCTACCTAATCAACTGTTTGTCTGACAAGAAAGCCCTTGTTCGTGCCATCACTTGCTGGACCCTCAGCAGATATTCACACTGGGTCGTCACCCAACCTCACGAACAGTATTTGAAGCCCCTGATGACTGAGGTAAGGACTTTTTACCAAGGATGGACCCGATCTCAAATTTTGCGATCGAGATCTTAAAATTTATAAATTGTGCGATTGCAATCGCAGATCGCTTTTGTGATTTTGTCCATCCTTGCTTTTTACGCCATTTTTGTGCAATTTAGTAAAATTCATGAGGTCTTGAAATAAGCCATTAAATATATATTTATTGATTTTAGTTGCTTAAAAGAGTTTTGGACGGAAATAAACGAGTGCAGGAGGCGGCTTGCTCTGCTTTTGCCACTCTAGAGGAAGAAGCGTGCACCGAATTAGTTCCATACCTTGGTTTCATCCTCGAAACCCTGGTATTTGCATTCAGCAAGTATCAGGTAAGCATTGTTTTGGGATTTTAGTAACAATTCTGATATTTTCCTCCACATTTCAGCACAAGAACTTGCTTATTCTTTATGATGCCATTGGAACATTGGCAGACTCTGTGGGCCACCACCTTAATAAACCAGATTACATAAACCTTTTGATGCCACCTCTTATCCAAAAGTGGAACGTTTTGAAGGACGAAGACAAAGATCTCTTTCCTCTGCTTGAGGTAAAGGAGAAGTCAAAGTCTTTGACATAAGATCATAAAATTTTTGTTCTAGTGTCTCTCGAGTGTAGCCACTGCCCTTCAGTCGGGTTTCCTTCCATACTGTGAGCCTGTTTACAGACGCTGCGTGTCTCTTGTTGAGCAAACTCTTGGCCAGCACATAGTGAGACTAAATTAAAATTGATTTTTGATTAAACATTAAATAAAGTATTCCCAGGCAAATACTCAAAGTCCTGAACAGTACGAAGCTCCCGATAAGGACTTTATGATTGTGGCGCTTGATCTCTTATCTGGCCTGGCAGAGGGTTTAAATGGCCACATAGAGAAGCTGGTGGTCAACTCAAATATCATGCCCCTGCTCTTCCAATGCATGCAAGACCCAATGCCTGAAGTAAGGCAAAGTTCCTTTGCTCTTCTAGGCGACCTCACCAAAGCGTGTTTCCAGCATGTCCAACCATGCATTCGTGAGTTGTTTTTATCATCTAATAAGAGCAAGTAATTACATTGAATAATTCATTAGCTCAATTCTTCCCCATTTTGGCTCAAAATCTAAACCCCGAGTTCATTTCTGTCTGCAACAATGCTACCTGGGCGATAGGAGAAATTGCAATCAAATTAGGTAAGGGTGAAATTTTCATTAGATTTGGGTTCCAAATAACTGATTAAAAAAAATTGCAGGTCTTGAAACTAGCACATACATACCACTGGTTTTGGACCAACTGGTGGTCATTATCAACAGGCCGAATACGCCAAAAACTCTCCTGGAAAATACAGGTATCGTCATTTTTAATCACTTTTGAGCATCAACTTTTAGAAGCATTTGAAATGTCACACTCCCCGTTGATTGCCAGTTAAAAAACGATATTATGTTAGTTAATGCTTTGCAAATTTTAAGGTAGATTTAATTCAATTCTGTAGCATCCAGGCGAAAATATGTTAATTAATCATCAACAGCAACTCTAGCTATTTGCACTTAAAAAATTGAAAACTTGCATTAAATGCAATTTCGCCCCAAAAGTACATCTTCTATGTTTTCGGTGGGATTTGTAATTGTTTTATGATTCAGCATTTGTGTTCAAACTTTTTAAAGGATAATTGATTATCTCTTTGAAATTGCACCCACCTTGATTATGATTATTGTTAATGATTATTTGAAATTATGTTTCTATTAAGTGTATGTTTTCTCTTTGTTTTGTTTTGGCCCAATAGCTATTACTATTGGCCGGCTAGGGTATGTGTGCCCTCATGAGGTGGCTCCTCTGTTACAACAGTTTGTGCGGCAGTGGTGTGTAACCCTTTTCATTTTATTATAATATAAAATTTATCAATTCCTCTTTTTATTTTTGTTACCGAGCAGTGAAGGATCCAATTTTTTTCAATGTTGAATGCCTTTTGTTTCATACTAATTTTGATGTTTTCTAATAATTAATTTCGAGTTACTTAGATCTAGTTTAACCCGTTCATTTCAGTCATTTATGAATTTTTACAAATTTTTCTTTTGTATTTCCATTGATTATTGCCTTCACTGATTCAGTTCCTTGGCAACTCAATCAAAACCATGACTTGCCAATTTTCAATGTCAAGCATGCTCTATAAAAAAGTTGTACCAACCTTGCGTGCCCTGCAAGCCAACTTAAAATTTCTTTTAACAGGTGCACTTCACTGCGCAACATACGAGATAATGAAGAAAAGGACTCTGCCTTTCGAGGTATCTGTCAAATGATCACCGTCAACCCAGCTGGTGTTGTGCAGGATTTCATATTCTTCTGCGATGCGGTTGCTTCGTGGATCAGCCCCAAGGAGGATTTGAAAGAGCTGTTCACAAAGGTTGATTTAATGAACTAAATTCACGGGAAAGAACTAATCATAATAATTTTACAGATTTTGCATGGCTTCAAGAATCAAGTTGGCGAAGAAAACTGGAAACGGTTCTCAGACCAGTTCCCTGTCCAGCTGAAAGAGAGGCTTTCAACCATGTACGGCGTGTGAATTGCCTCACCACCTTTGGTAAGCAATCACTACATTTTGATAGTTACTGAAGTTAAAATGAACTGACTGATCAATGCTAAATGTTTATCCTTGTTTTTATATAATATGTAGAGAAATTATCTTTTATGAAAGTCATCTTTTTGCATTACAAATATGAAAAAAAAATTCAAACAGATTAATTTCTTTGTGAGTCGATGAATAAAATTTGAAAAGGCATTCACGTTCGCTATAGATTTGTTTAATTTTTGCTCCTTAATTCTGATGTTCCAGGAGGACACAGTTGCTGCTCCTCTCCGTCGTACGGTAGGGTATCTCGGGCGGGAGGGTGGGTGGGTGAAACCACTGCTAATTTGAGTACACACAAACACAAACTTTGAGCTGCAGGGAGGGGGGGTGCTACTTTATGCGGGCCTGTTTTATCTCTCACTTACGCAGCATCAAAACCACCAATCAAAGGACGAAATCTTAAATATACAAGCAAAGGACGGGCGCGACTCTCTCTCGAGAGTGGAAATTCGACTGTGGGCTTCAAATTCTAAAGCGGAATATTGATTTAAAAAAACCGAACGCATACATACATCATATTTTGTGGGGTAAATGTTACAACAAACTGCTAAAATAATACAAGAAGAAAGATACGCAAGGTATTTAGAGCCCAGATACTGAAAAAGCGATATTCAAAAACAAAGGTACCCAGCATATCAAAATTGTCAAAAGTAAAATGTTTTGGTAGTGAATATTAGGGGCAGAGCTGAGAAGTATTGTTTGATATAACCTCTTCCATCTCTTTGAAACAATCAGTAGCAGAAGCCCGATTTTGGTGAAGAGCGTTTAAACAAAACCGAGTTGTCGTACTACTTTTTTGTTTTCACCTCTTTTGTTGAGTATGTAGTGATCCTGCCTGTGTATAGACAATGGCTGGTTCCTGCTCAATTGTAATTAATCAACTACTCTTGCATGCCTATTAGGACCAATGTTTTCCACATTATATTTTGTTTTTCTTTTTATTGCAAAGAAAGAAGGAACTATTATCTACTGATGATTACTTGTGACCTCTGCGCACATAACCTTTTTGAACTTGATGGCGTTGCTGTTCAATTTTTCTATTAGAAGATCCAAGTTGGCAAAGAACTTTTAAATGATTAATAATTGATAATAAGGTGCTTTATACCTGTTTATTATGTATGGATTTATTTTTGTTATTTATTGTAAGAACGATATTGCTTTGATAGCAATTTTTTAATTATTTTTTCACTTGATAGGCTGTCAATCAAGCGGGGGGACTGATTTTTATAGTACTGTTGTAATTGTGAGGACGAACCAACTTTTTAAACACTTTATATACTGAAAATGAAAGAACTGCTAATGTTAGGGATTAAATAATTCTTTATTGTGATGATAGGTTAATTAGAAATGACGAATTGATAAAAAAAATTTATATCGACATAAAAACAAATATTGTGAGTTTGAGGGGCTTCTAGAAGAAAATCAAAGAGAGTAACTAATTAAACAATTAATCATTTTTGTTGTATTCCATGCAATTATATTATGTATTCTTATTGTTAGGCTGTTGTCAGGGACTTGTTCAGTGATACAATGCCACCTTTATTAAATGATTTGCCATTGTCGCCAACTTGCGCTCTGCAATCCTGATGAAAGTTGACCAACGCCTCAAGTTAGTGTAGCTAGCTCAGTATAATATATGTGAAGGGTTTCCGCCTGTGTTTCACCTTCGGCTCCCTGTCCTTGGACGAGCAATACATTTATCAATACCTCCAGTTCATAGTTTGAACTGTGCGGGAGCGACAAGAAGTGTTGAAAATACGGGTTGATACCCTCACTCCTTAGTGCTTTGTTTTATGTTAAAATTGTTCATCTAGCTTGAATAAATTTCTACTGTCAGATCCTTTATTTTTGGTCCAGTTTTTTCTTTCATAGAATTATATTTAATTTCTGTTTTGTTGTACCCATGCGTCGTGTGCAGAGGAATCCGGAGTGTCTGTGGTGTGTCTGTATTTGCAGGCAGTTTTGACGCACTAGTTGCGTGCAAAATCCTGTAGCTGTTTTTTTCTATAACTGCATGATGTGTTTGTTGCTGTGTTTCGTGTGTATGTGGTAATCAGGGGCATCTTTAAAGATTTGCGTAAATTCCCCCAGCTCTTAAGACTTCATTTTTTTATAAATACAAAAATAAAAAATTGTGTAATACATGAGCTTACAATTAAAATTATTTTAATAATCATTTTATCGGCAGTCCTTCCTTAAGCAGAGCGAAAAATTAATTTCATCAAACTAGGTAATTCGCAATTTATTGAGGAAGCTCTTTTCCAGAAATTGATTTTGTAATAATAAGAATAGAAAATACCGAATTTTCCCTACATGAGAGATAAAATTGCATCTAATAGCAAAATCAAATAGGATTGATCTTCTTGTTCTTGATTTTTACGGGGCATTTACGCAAATCATCAATAAGACTCCCATCATCATATTGCGTAGTTTTTTCAAAGCGTTGTTTGTTATCAAATCTGTGATTTTATTGAACAAATGAGCTCTTAATGAAACCATTTAGAGAGTAGCGTATAAAGAGTAATTAATTAGTGCATGCTGGTATTTGCATGATATGGAAAGTAAATAATTTTAACGAGAAGATAAATAATAATGCTTAAAATTAGTAACTGATGGAACTGTTTAAAAATAATAATGCAAGTATTCCTACAACTCAATTCTTGTCAGGGTATATTAAATTTATAATGGAAGGGTGAAGCTGGAGCAGCATGCTACTTTTTTTTACCTAGATCCACAAAAAATGTCATTTTTAAAATTAATTTTTATTTATTAAGCACAGATGTGTGACTGTGATATAAAAAAATATGCTAAATTTTCTATTGTCATTTCACATTAAATTGCTGCCCAAATTGCTTGCATGGCTAATGGTTGTTGCATTCCTCAATTCACTGGATAATGGTTCTCACCTTATAATGATATAAAATTTCAATTAATTGATCACTGATCAGCTTTGAACTAAATTTTGACCGAAAAAATGAAATATGTTTTGAACTATCTTGAAGTACTGGAAACAGCTTCGATGCTGCTCATACTCGCCTAAAGCCATTTTAAAAGTTGGATGACTTTAGGAATTAAGCTTAAAAATAATATATTGTTTATTTATGCAAAAACGGAACTTATTAGAAGCTATTGAATTTACGTCTCTATTTAGAGATATGCAATTTGGTTCGCGACTATTTACACTGGTTTTCAGGGGCTATTTTTTACATTTTTCATGATGCGTTTTTTTTTTTAAGAGTAAAATTTCTCAGGGTCTATAAGATTTATTTCTTCATTATTTTTCTTCAAGCAGAGAATCGATAAGAAAGAAAAACTTCAGTGTGCCAACTCGAAAAAAGGCCGTCAACTTATTTTAATTTTTTAGAATCACACGCTTCCTAGAATGCAATGTCATAATTTTTACAAAGTATAAATTGCAAATGCTTGTTTAAAAAAGTCATAAGCACAAAAAGGGACGCTAAGCAAGAAATTATGAGGAATAATGTTCTTTTCAACAAGTTGAAGCCTTCAATTAAATACTGATTTCTTAAAAAAAAAGTTATAAAATTAAGGTGTTCCCATTGCATTAAACTAGAAATTTTTAGTAAGACATGACTGTGATTGCAGTTCCCTTTTTAATACACGCATTATTCTGATCATGCCAAATGAGCCGCCTCATAATTGTGTATAAAGATATGTGCAAAGGATAAAAAAAATCATAAGATTTACAAAACGGGGTACAAATTTCGTATAATGATGACATTATTGTAACATTTTTCTTAAGAAAGAGAGCGTAATTAAGCAATTCTAATGATGAAATTCAAGTGAGAAAGACCAACGGTTTTTTATTTGAATTTTTTACTCGCTCGTACAAAGTTAAAAGGAAATAACTGTGCCGAAAAATGACTTCTTTATTCTAGTTGTTGAATGATTTATTCTAACGATTATCAAAAAAGGGGATTTAAAACTCAAGCAGTTTAATTGTCTCATTTGGCAGCCGAAATGAATAACAATATATCTTTGAAAAAGATTGAGTAACAGGCTTGGTTGCTTTTAGCATTGCTCACTGCCCCCTGTTCATTGACCCTGCAATGAATTTGTTCGTGGTCCCAATTCTGATGAAATAATTACTGTTGTTATTGCAAAATTGAAAGTAAAAGTCACGTTTATATGTCGTCAGGTTAATGCAAATTTTTCAGTACATTTTTATAACAAAATTTATTATTTGCAGACTTGGTATTTGTGTAAATTATGTGATCGGAAAAAATATAGCAAGCTAATGTTTTAATCCACGCTGATTTGAAAGACGTGAGAAAAAACAATATGTGAAAAATGCATGGAATTAAAATAAAATAAAAGCTGGAGTTGTAGAATATAAATTTGTCCTTTTATTTATCCGACATATTTCACCAGAAAAATGATTATTTTATCCCTCGCGCGTTGAATTAATTTGTAGAGAATAAACAATTTAATAATTCAAACCATTTGAGGATTTAAGTAAATTAATAAATATTTTGACATTTTAAAAATATTTATTCTTCTTGTTTCTTTAATTAGGTCGAGAAATATTTCTCGAAATCCATAAAAGTAACTTGTAAATTTACAGACACCAATAAATTAATTCAATTTGAATGCTTGGATGTCTTTCTGACGAGGAAGTAAATGTTCCCAAGCGCAAAAAGAAACAGTTCTGTTGAAATAACTGCATTGCGCCTTTTGTCTCTTCTCTCTCGCAGCAAATAGTGCAAGGCGGCTCCGATCCAACACCACCAGAAATAGATAAATACAGACGACGAGAGAGATCCGAAGCGAGTAATAAAGTGAGAGCCGCGAATTAATAATTCATAAAGTGTAATGTTAGCTATTTAAATTTTTCGACGACGAAAGCGTGTCGGCGTCCCGGTGCTTTGCAGGGTAAATTGCGCCATGGTGTTTGTACTCGCGGGGATGCGCGCGGCGGCGCAGTATTTGCAATTCAATGAGGGGGGCTGCGAATCACGCCGACAATTGGCTGTAATTTGTGCGCGACTAAGCGGGCCGGAAAGATCAATTACGGATACAAACTCGCTCTGCGCAAATTTAATTTGCGCCGCGCAGCACCAAAAGCTCCGCCAGCGTCAAGCATGGCCACGATTTTTCGACCTATTTGCTTGCGTATAAAAAAAAATACAAAATTCGTTTGAATATCAGTTTTAGTTGCAAATTGTGCATATCGCATTAAAATTATAAACATCAATTATAATTTATTATAATTAAATACTGTAATTATTTTTTATTATTAAACAATATAAAAATTTTATACTTTATTTTGAATTTTTACTGAACTTTTTTTGAGCAATTCAAAACAAAACATCTTATAAACCAGTTTTGCTCTTCAACGCTACTACAGACGATTTATTTTGTAAAATTAAATATGATAAGTTTTGTAAATATAAATAGTTTGCAGCAGATAATGGGTTTATCGCGGCAGCCGAGTCTCTTTTGATGTTATCATAAAATTGTATAATGAAAAATACTAAATAAATATATTTTTGCTGCACCCTGTTTTTTTATGGCGCAGTTTTCTCTAATCTAATTTATTTTTTATTAAACAAGAGATGAATCTTTTGCCCATATAATTTGATTACATAGGCACTTGGAGGGTTGTAAATCTTGGCAAAATTACTGCTGCATAATTTTTTTTAGAGCCCCGTTGTTGCCATTCATCCCCTCAGCGCACCTAAATTTATAGCTTGCTGTTATTATATTTAAGGTTTCTTTTAATTGATTACGTTAAAATATGGAGAATTTATTTCTTCAAAAAATAGACAAACATTTTTTTTTCAATTCTGCTTTTTTGTACTTTTTTGCTCATACTTCGCTGACCATGACCGAAAAAGTAGGCCGTTTTGTTTTTGAATAAAAAACAATTTTTTTTACGAGAACAAAGCTTTTTCACTTCACTTCCACGATCGTCTCGTTTTTAGTCGTTTTTAGTCATTACATATCTGTGAATTATAACTTAATATAAAATAGTTTGAGTCTTGTTGATGAAAAGAATACAACAAAATTAAAAAGATATATTTCAATCTTCACCCATAAAAAATATTTGAAAAAATTAATAAAACAAAAAACCAACAAAAAAACGTTGCATTTTACCAATAATACCAATTTTCCATTTACATTTCCCATCAGAGAAGATTGGAAAAGCAGAGGAATCGCTCAAAAGTTCCATTCGTTGGCTATAAATAAGCCCTGCGCGAGTGCGCGCCCCTCGCTCGCCCTCTTCGGCCGAGCGAGCGCTTCGCTTTTTTCGCCCCGGAGATAATCACGACGTAATGGAATTAAATGGGGCGCATAAAAAATAGTGCCGTACTTTTTGCTCGGACACTCGAGACCCGGCGGACGCACGGACGCTATTTGTCTGATTGCTTGCTCTTAATCCGCCTCTGACACCTGTGAAATCCCTTTTCACCCTCCCACCCCTGTTGCCTTATTAATGAGAAAACAATCTCCTAGTCCGCTCAATTTGTTCAATTTCGCAGCGCGCGCCTATCCTTATAGGCCATCATGTCGGCACCAGCTGCTCTGCCAGTTGCCTATTAGCGATTAAAGCAGGCGTTTTCGCCCTCCACACTTTCCCTCTGGCCGGATTTTTTTGATGGCGCTCACTTTCAATTAATTTATTACCGGATCAATTTGGTAATCGACCTGTTAATTAAGAGCTTTTGCAAAGAAAAGTGCTGGTTGTTCTGAATTTCACCTAAATGTGTGCTTTTTTTAAATCTATATTAAAATAAAATTGCGAAAATTAAATTAGACATCAGCAAATTTTATTTAAATAATTTAATAATTGCTATCAACATTTTTTCCATTGTCTAGATTCAAGATAATGTTTGAAAATAGTTTACAAGTCAACCGACAATCTCTGCAAGATCGGTAAGATTTAGAAAAAAAATTTGTTATCAGTGAGATACTTTTATAATAAATTTCTTCTACTGAATAAAAATATTTGAACTCTACAGAGAAATTTCAAATTTCGGAATAAAACGTTGAACGACCACTTTTATCAGAGCCTTGTGGAGCTGGGACGAGGCCGGTTTTGGTCGGAAGCAAATAAATATTTGCCTCCTGTTTTTTTCCGCGCGTACATCAATATGTCTAACACGCGCATTAGCCGATGGACGCTCTTTTTCGCTCTCGCGCGATCCGAGCGCTGTTTTATGATGTTTTATTAAGACAAGGAGTGATATACAACTGTTTAGACATTATGCTCTCAAACTACATTGGATTACTGCTTAACGGCCCTTTAATTCAATCTTACGCGATCCAAAATTCATGATGGCCATAATTCTGTCTGGCCCTATGATATATATCGAGGCCGCCAGATGAGATACGAGTGAGGGTTACTCTGGCGCGCAGCTTGGGGTGTGCACGAGCCACCCACTCTTACTTTCTCCTTTCGAGGGCGCCAAAGCAGGGTGTCGCCCAGGAAAAGTGATTTTTATGTAGAAATATTATAATGATTTCCTTATCTGCGCATTTATTTCAGCTTACGTGCTAAATTTCGATTTAAAAAAAAAGCGCGTAACTAAAAAAAACTCAAAGAACATCGTGTACTTTTCCTTCTGCCTTTATTATTTTATTTGACTTCTACAAAATTACATTTGCGGCTTCTGACAAACGAGCGGAGCATGTTAATGCGGCGCGGGTTGAGGTTAAAAAATCATTTTTGTCGTTTTCATGGGCTGGACCATCAATAACAAGGGCGTCGAGTGACGCGAACCATCACTCAGCCGGCCGCACGCAGTCTCTTCGCATCTTTTTCCACCCGAGTGCTTGCTCCTGTCTGCTCTGCTCAATTCGTAAACCAGAAACTAACTGGACCAAAAAAGTGTCTGCAAAGGTTAATTTTTGACCTCAGAAAATTTATTTTGCTAAACGATACAGTGATTGATATTGCAGGTTTTGTTATAGAGCAACTCTCTTTGAGCATAAGAAAAAAATGGCATGAAAGCGGAATTGAAAGTTGTGTTTGTCAGCTTACGTTTTTGATTTTTGTGAAATTGATTAAAAACTTCGTTACTATTTGCCTGAAAATATATTCATTTAGTAATTAGTAATTACAAACTTAAGATTCTGAAGTATAACCTGAAAACTTTTAGAATTTCTCCACCAAAGTTTTGTTTTTTCTAAACAAAAGTTTTTAAATTAACTGAAACTACGGACAATTTGCACCCAAATTGGGGTAAAATAATAAATGTTTGTCGCAACTCCACACATTTCAAGAACAAAAGTTTCATCTGCTCATGGAAAAGCATCTCGATGGAAAAAGCGCAATAAAGTTGAACTCTGCTCTCGCCTGCAGCTCTAAGCAGCAAATAAGCAAGTAAACATGAAAGCAAGCAGCGAGCGAGCGCAAACAAACAAACGTTTGCCAATTCAATTTTGATTAGGTGCAAACACGCGTCGGACAAATCAGTCCGGCACATCGAGATTAATTTGCAGCGCAATTATTCAGCCGTGATATATGGAGTGAGGTGAAATTGGATCTGCCGCTCCGCTCGGCCATTCGTCTCTTGCCGCGATATAATTCCAACTGCACTGTCACCCAATATATTAGCGCGCGCCGCACCAGAGTATGAATTGCAAAAACAAATCAATGCGGTCCCGCGCTCTCGCGTCTAGTCAGGCAGGGGTTGTAATTAATGGAGGGTAATTGAATTTCATTAGTCGGCAGCAGACCACTTTATTTATTAATATTCTCTCTAGCGCTAACAAATATACGCTATTGCCAATGTTTATTTACATAATATGTGACACGTCAAAGTTTTGCACAGTTCAAATTTTTCAATGAAAAAAAAGAATTAATTTCATTGGAATGACCGTGACCTTTAATTTAATTTTGGCGTAAAACACTTGATTATCGTCTTGTTAATAATTCAAGAATTGCTACTTTTTACAAATTTATTTCCGATTGAATTTTATTCAAAACAGAGATATGAAATAATTAAATTAACAGCGTCGAATTTCAAAATGTCTTTCAACTCTATTTCAAGCGAAAATGATACTTGTGTTTTTTTTTTTTTAAATTTTATTTCTGATGTTTGCTTTATTGTTGAGGTTTAAGATCACATTCAGGGTGAAAAAGGGGCTCATTCACGCTGCCCTTTCCTGGGGCAAGCCAAGGGCCTCGGCGTGCTTCTTGGCCTTCAACCGCAAATCGGCGATACTCGAGTTCTTGCACAACAGCAACCGCTCGTGTTGAGCGGCCGCGGCGGCCAGGGCCGCCTGCAAGCCGAGCGGGTATTGCGGCGGACAGAAAAGCAGGGGTGGAGGCGGCGCGGAGGTGGCACTTTGCGCCGCAGAAGCCGGCGAAGAAGAACTTCTCGAGGGCGAACTGCTGCCAGTTTTGATGAGTGTCGTTGAAGCTGCTGAGGTTGGAATCGACCCTGACGCATTCTGATGATGCAGGGCCGCTGCAGCTGCTGCATACTGAGAGCAGAATCAGACCATTATTGTCATTAACGTGTGTAAAAATGTAGCTTGAAAGTATAACAATATTTTTTTTAAACAGTATGAAAGTAATTTTATGCATAAATATTTTATAATTATTATTTTTAATTTTTTTGAATAATTAAGAAAGAGTTGAAATAGAGAACATATAAAAATTTAAAAATAAAAATTTAAAATAATTGTTTATTTGTGTAAATTTCTCATTAATTTTATTTTATTTACAGAGACAACAAAACCATAATACTTTATTTTAATTTAATATTTATTAAAATTTAAAATATCAGAAATATGACGATCTAGATTAAGCAAATAAATATTTAATTTGTAGCAAAGAAAATTATTGAATTTTTGTAGTCAAAATTGTTAACGTACCTGATGAGCTGCACTGAGAATCGCAGGGTCGAAGGCAGGAAACGCGGCGGCGGCCGCGGCGGCCACGGCCGCGAAGGGCAGGCGATCGTAGCCGGCAGGACTGAGCCTGAGCGAGGGGACGCTGACGTAGGGGGCCACCCTGCAGGGTTCGATTGGTGTTGAGACGGGCGGACTCTGGCTCAACATGATTCCGGCTGCAACAAGACCAGAGAAACGTGTCTCTGAATTGTAATTAATTACACTGATTGCCTTAAGAAGTGACTGCGAGAGCAGCCTGATAGGGTTGAGCGTACGGCAATCATGATAATTAATCGTCCTTAGCCCGCGCGCGCCGCTCTCATTAGTGTAATTAAATGCTCGGGGCAAAGCGGGTGAGACAAGTGAAGTGACTTGAGCCACCCAATAAAGATATACTTAAAAGCTGGCTTTAGAAACTTTAAATTTGTTTTGCTAATCATACAACACTTGGGGATAAATTATCCGTTTTTAAATTTGAAATATAATTAACAGCATCTCACCTTTTTGCATTTGACTTTCATGTTTTCTGCATTTTGCTCTTCTGTTTTGGAACCAAACCTGTTGAAATAATATAATTATTTATTACTTCACACCAAAATCTTCGAAAATGTTGTTAAGGATAAAGGGAAAAAAGCAACCTTTGCATAATCAAGTTTTTTTTTATAAATAATCAAGGATTTAATAAAAAGCAAATAAATTTTAATCCTTCTTATACCATTTTGCTAATTTATAATTGCAATGCCTTATCGCTTACCTGCACTCTCGCCTCACTCAAGCCGAGTCGTTGGCTCAGCTCTTCTCGCATGAACGCATCTGGATAATGCGTCTCGTCAAAAAGTCGTTCCAGCTCGTTCAACTGTTCCAGAGTGAAGTTGGTTCTGCTGCGTCTCTGTTTGCTTTTACTTGATGGACACAATCCTGAGGATGCCGTGTCACCCTGTGGCGAATTCAAACCTGATGGACGCCGTTCTGCAAAATGAGATTACAAATTGTGTCTTAATTCAACTTTAGATCATAAATAACCAAGTATTTTAACTTGCTTTCTATGTAGTAATATTATTTATGGGGGTTGAAACACAAAAATTATTCAATTTATTATTCGATTGCAATATTGTACACGATAGAATGAAATTTTATCCACTTTGAAACTTGGATTAGCATGGGAAATCAGCTAGGATGGAAGTAATTCGTTAATACAATTTAAGTGACAGCGTTGTTGCTGATGCCGCGGCAAAAAAGTCGACCAGACGGCGGGGGAGTGAATTAAAATGCAAACAACACGGAAGCGTGCCTGGCGGAATTAGCCGCGCCGCCGAGCACTGAAATATATAATTCGCGGAATGTGTATCTGTATCAGCATGCATATAATCACGAGAATAAAAATAGAATAGGTAACTGAGTTTGCTCGCGCCATTTGAGGCATGACTAACTCGGGATAATTGCACTCAGTCAGTTTGGCGAGCGAGATTTGCAATTTTTATTGCGGCGCACGTTCGCTCGCGTCGAGAGAGCAAATTTTTCCTGCAAACACCAGTGAAACGGGATCCGTCGCGGCAACACAATTTATTTTGCACTGCTCGAATTAAACGCAATTAAGTATGCAAACAATGTTAGTTTAGTTTGGCGAATTTTTTTATTTTGATAAACAAACCGACAGTTTCAGCTGCTCGTGTTTTTCGGCCGGCGGCTTTTCTAACGAACGCGCGCGGCCCGGTGATAGATGAGCGGGCTGCATACCCGGTCGGCAAGGGGTGAGAAAAGTGAATTAATTAATGAAGTTAAGTGCTGCAAAAGGAGCAGGAGGAAAAAAAGGCAGCTCAGAGATTGCTCTTGGCCCGGTCTTGAGGGACGAATTAATTCGAGTTCTACCTCCTTCTGATACACCCCGTGCGCAAAGCCAACCACCCCTCGAAGCCTCCCTCCCTCTCCCTCCCGCCAGGGGTTAATGGTGTGCAAACAAGAAACTCATTGACAGCCTCTTTAAATCTCCCGCTAATTTGATTACACTTACTCGTTGTGCGCGGGCGTTTGTATGGTATGACTCAATTTGTAAGCGCGGCGATTAACAATTCACCCGGTGGGGGTGGTTTAATATGAAGCAAACGCAATCAAAGTTTTTTGTTTTTTCAAATCAAAGCTAACAATTCTGGTTCACTATTTGCATTAGACATGAAATGAAAAGTTTAAAATAAATTATTTTTATCGGAGTTGGCAAATAATAATTTGATGTTATGAAATAGCAACAAAATTTAATATCCAAATAACAACATAACATTTAGAGATGATATTTATTTTCATCTATACTTAAAAAAATTGCATATGCATTATAATAAAAATAAAAATCTTATTTGATATTATTCAACACGTAAAAAAAAAAATGAATAAAAATGAACTGGTTAAGTAAATTTTTAAAAATCAATGAGATTAAGTTTATTTTCTTTGCTCTTAAACGTTTTGTTAATAAGTATATTTTTTTAAACAAAACGATATAACATAACAATATGAAAGTTTTTTTGTTTTAGAAAATAAAGTTCGGATAATATTATTAATTATTCAAACTCATATATTTAATAAATTGCAGATTTCAAATTCCATAAATTTCATTTACAACAGGACATTCTGCGTTTTATTTACTTTATTTTTTTTCCATTTGCCAAAGATGGAATTCGCAGCCGCCACCGTATTCCGTATCCATAAATTTGAAAGCAGCTGCACGCATTTTCGCAGTCTGACGGAAAAAGTACCCTCGTTGAAATCTCACCGGAATTCATCCGACTAATATAATTTAGAGCTCGGGCGCGATCGCCAATTTATTGAGCCAGCAGCATCTTTTTCCGCGGCAGACTTTCGCGTAGTGCGGGGGGATTTTTATTTATTGTGCGATTATTTATTCAATTTAAAAGAAAAACACACACACGCTTGCGAGCGTGCAGGGTAAAAAAAGGAGGAAAAGGCTGGTAGGGAGGAGCGCACACTTCATTTGAAATTCAGCCGTAGCTGCGCGCGAGAGGCCAAATCGAATTATGGTGCTCGTCGGAATCAGAATAAAATAAGGCAAATTGAATTAGCAATGATAAAACACTGCGCCGGATAAAAATCTCGCTTGCTCTCCGCGGTCAATTTGCTGCTGCGTGTTTTTTCCTCCGGCGCGCGGGCGGGGTGCGCAGGGGTGGAAAAAAATACACAACCCCTGGCTCTGTTGAGGCCCGACCGACACCTCCTTTTATTTTACGAGCTATATATGGATAAGAACAGGGGCGAGAGATGTAAATTTGATTGAGTTTAATGAAGGGGTGCGGGCGGATTATTGCCAAGAAAAGCACCCCCAAAGAACCCATTTCGCAAATTGAGTGATGCTCCTTCTTTCGCGCCTTGCCCGATCGAATTCATTCGACTCTGCGTCGTAATTTTCCTAATGGAATTAAATCTGACTAATTAAATCCTCACGGCGGGTAATAAAATTTGCACGGCCCGCTTGACAAATTTCGCTCCGCTCGCGTTCTCTCTCTTGTTAATTAATTAAGTTATTAATTTTGTTATTCAACTCCGGTAGTGCCGCGGTGCGCTTTTTGCTGCCACCGGCGCCCGCTTTTGTTTGAGTTAATTGCAGGCACGAGGATTAAGCCGCTCGCAGTTGATTCTCTTCTGACTGCTCAAGTGTATCAGAAAGTGGAACTTTTATAAGAGAAGCCTTATTGAATCAAATGCTCTTTACAGTGAATAAATTTTAATTTAATTAATTACTGATGCAAATGGCCGATTTTGAGTGCAAAATACCTCATGTTGTGATTCGAATATGATTTGTCCTTATTTATAATTTAATTAAACATAAACAAAGAGGAAGACTTGAGTGATTTCTTGTGGAGTTTTAAAAATCACAAAAAAAAATTAAAGTTTAATGGAATATCCACATATTACAGTGCTTTTGTAAAACCATACCGGAAAAAAATGTAGCACTTATTGTTAGAAATACTCAAAAATATTTTTATTGATCGATTTTAAAAAGCGCTTCAAATTTAATCAATGATGCATATTAAGTTATTTAAAACCATAATATTTGAAGCAAATATTTTCCTCTAACTCTCATTTGTCATAAAGCTTGAAAACAAAAAGTAATCGATAGCTTTCTTTTCAATTTGTTTTAAAATTGAAAAAAAATTAACTTTCTTATATCACATACCAAATCCAAGCAAAATATTGAAATTATAAATAAAATATCATACTAACAATAAGTAGTAATATTTTTTTATTATTAAAATATATTTTAGAAAGTTTTTGTTTGACTCAAATGCAATTTTTTTTAAATGTATTTTATTCAACAGAGGTCAACTGCGGCTGACAGAGTTGTTTGATCTAGAAAGATTGGGAAAATTACTTGCGCCGTTTTTTCAAACTTGTCCTGCACTACCAGCAGTGCCGGCACTTCAATTGGATCCAACTCTTTCGTCGGTGAAAAAATGTTGGATCCAATTGGATCCAACACTTTCGTCGGTGCAAAACATGTTGAATACTAGATTTGATAGCCATAAGAAAAAGATTTATTTGACAATTTCACTTTGATGAAAAGGTCTTTAAATATTTGGGCAACACTTCAGATGAAAACAAATCATAAACTTTTTTTACTTTTTCATGTTCACTAATTTTTTTCCATATTTATTTTTAAAGTGTAATTAAAAGATTTAGCGAATATAATTTCTCTACAAATGAGAAGATTGAGAATTTTAATATTTTTGAGTAATCATACATGCATAAAATTTCAAACGAAAAAACTTTCTTGCATATTTTCGCTTTGATGAAGAGATCTTTAAATGTTTCTGAGCAAAAAAAAAAAATAAATAAGAAATTTCAAATTATGTTGGATTGCAAGTAATAAAAATTTTACTCAAAAAAAGAAATCTCAAATTGACCCGTTGACGACATGTATAGCTGACATGGCGTTTTGACTCGGGAGAGCTGCTCGAAAGCCAGTTAGACTCGCCGCAAAGGTATAAGTTCCCGTCTTCGTTCTCGCTGTTCAAATTAACCTACGAGGTTCAAAATTAAGTCTGATTTACATTTTTTACTCGGTCGAAAACGCCAGGTCAGCTATACATGTCGTAAACGGGTCAATTTGAGATTTCCTTTTTTGAGTTTAAAATTATAAATTAGTTTTGTGATTGAACCATGATTTTTTTGCAAGTCTTGTTCTGCGTGTTTAATATTGTTTACTTTTTCTTTCTACTAAACTAAATTAATTTAAGTATTTTTTTCTTTCTTAAATTTCATTTCACAGAAGTTCTGAATAAGATTTGCGCAGCTATTGCAACGATTGTTTTGATTCAATCACGCTTGTATGTACAAAATGTGTTTTTGCTCTGCGCTGGAACTGAATGGGCCGAGAGGGCGAGGGAGCGTTCGGCTGGTGAGAGCGGGCCAATTCCCGCTGCGGCAATTCCGCCGAATGATCCGTCCACCGGCGGCACTCACTCGTCGTTTTCCATGTGTATGTCCACCCCAGGGCATTGCTGCGACGGGGTGCGACAGACACACACACACAAGTGATCTGCCGTTCAATCAGCATAAATGGATTACGCGCGCATCGCAATCGCATGATTAGATTACGCTTTTCCGACCGACTGCTCGCCTAAACAGCGCGTCTTATTTGTATTTATGACTTCGCTTCTTTCTTTCCCTCCGATTTCGGTTCCCACTTGATTGCATTAAACGGGCAATTAGCAGCGCATCTCTGTCGGGCGAATTCATCGATTGCATCAATCACGCGCCAGTGTGATAACTGCGGTAATATTTGCATCCTCTAGATTCCATTTCAATCGATTATTATTATTTATTGAAGCATATTCGACATCAATAACGAAAATATTGAAATTCTTATACAATTTGAACGAAACTACTTAAAAATCAATCGTATTGTGTGCAATTTAAGATTCTCTTATTCAAATTATCATAAGAATATTAAGAACTGCAAGAAATACATTATTGAGTCGTCGTAATTTATCAGAAAAAATACTGTTTTTTCTGACAGCTTTTACAATTACAAAAAATCTTATTTTCTGTTTTTCAGAAAAAAATAAAATATTAGAAAGGCCAGAGTCAAAATTAACAAATTTTTCTTATTTAAAATATAAATTTTGCGATAAATATCATATTTTTTTCTTTTCATATTTTTGTTCAGAGATCAAAACCATAATATTATTTTAAAACATTGACTTGTCATTTTTTTTTAGGCTGTAAACCTTACATATATGTAAACAAAACCCCACAGAAGTGGAAACATTTGATTTTAATATAATTTTCATCAAGGTTTAAAAGCGTATTAAATTTTCTACTTAAAAAATATCAGAATTTGTCTGCAAATTGACTTCATGCAATGCTCTAAATTCATTTGTTTTTTTCTTACACTTTGTGCAAATGGAAACTGTTGTCCTGTTGTAATAAAGTATTAATTATGGATAATTTTTGGTGAAATAGGAAATATTTTTTTAGATGTCTTTTTACTGATCTATAAGACGGATCAGTTACCCATTTAATGCTTCAGAAACATAAATAAAACCTAATTAATTGAAAAAAAATTATATTTCAAATAATTTTTAACTTAAATGTGAAATCAGTATATTTTTAAAATCCATTGTTTTCAATAATACATTTTTAAAAGAATTAAAATTGACCACCATAATTGTCGAACTCACCCCTTTGCTTTTGCGGTTCGGCCGACGGCGCCGCAGCGGTTTCGGCGACGGTCAGGGTCTGCTGCGGGGAGGCTGGGGCCGCACCGTTCGGCTTGAGGGGCCACGGCGCCCCGTCGCTGACATTGCTGCTGGCAGGGCTGCTGCGGAGGCTGCGGGGGCTGCTGGGCGGTGTGCGGGCCGCCTCCACCTTGGTCTCGGACCCTTGGAACGATTGAGACACGAACTGCGTGAGCTGCTCCATCACTGAGACTCGCGCGGCTCACCTTCAATCAAAAGGGGTGAATTTCAGCCGGTCGGGGGCGGCCCCTAACCAATTACAGGCTCCACCCCTGCAGCCCTCGCCATTCGCGCGCACGCACCCTTCGAACACCCCCGCGTCGAGCCAAAAACCGCCATCTGCTGTTTCGCTGGAAAGCCTCTTTTCCCTCTCACCGAGGGGTGGAAGGGTTGACGGCGGGGGTGCGGCTTCGGCCGGGTAGCAAATTTTTACGTCTCTTTTACTGATTAAGTTGCCCACTCGAACACTTAATTCTCTTTATAACCTCCCATCAAGCTAACTAATGGAGTTTAAAAGCATTGGCCGAGCCAATTTTTTGAGACAACATTACTTTTAATTGAAACAGAGCTTAATTCGATCAGCGCCGAATTTAATCCGATTTTTGCCCTTTCACTCTTTGATTCCACTTTCCGGTGCGAAATTCGTCCCGCGGGTGCTGTTCCGGCCGGAGAGCGCGTTTAAGGGTTGAGCTTTTTGCGTTTGCATGCTGAATGAACGCGCCTGTGGATTCGGTCGCACAGGCAACCCGCGAAACACAACGAGCTGCGAGTATCATGATAAATAGAAAAATAAATTAATAAATCTTAACAACTTGTGCAAACAGTGAAAAAATGTTTGTTTCAAATTTTCATATTATTCTTCATAATTTGTGCGCTTAGTTTCTTAAATTGAAGTAAACTCTTATGATATTAAAGCAATAATTAAGTGATATACAGGCTTGTCCTAGGGTTGAAAAACTATTTTATTCACATGGCTTTTTGTTTTTGAAAACAAATCTTCAATGAGGCAAGCCCGTTTTTCATTTTATAATCCCCTGATCCTGTTATTTATCAATCTATTTGACACGATAATAAGAGATTTGAGAATGCTAAAATTTGGAAAAATAATTAAAAAAAATAAAAATAAAATAAACCAAAGATTGCATTAAATTTATTTGTTTCAGTATTTAATGAAAAAGATAAAATTTACTTGAATTTCCAAGAAGCTGCAATAAATATTTAAAATTTAAAAACCGAAACCTGACATTTATTTAATTTTTTAAAATAAATTTCAATTTAATATTATTATTTTTTTAAATTTAAAAAACATTAAATTGTTATTTAAAATTTTGTATCATGTTAGTTTTACTATATTTTGTTTAAAATTAAGTATGCATAAATTTAATTCGTTTATTCTCTAACAACAGGTAAAAGATAATTAATTTACGAGAAAAATAAAGAACTTGTATTAAATGTTTATTGAACTAGTGAAATACTAAAAATAAATATAATGGTTTAATTAAATAAATTATTTCATGAATCTACGAAAACAAAAAGTTCCGTACTTTGTACATTAAATCTGCGTGTCTCAGTCAGAGGCGGCGGCAATTCTCATTGGACCCATAAATTTGCTCCACATATGAGCGCAATTTTAAGTGGCACATTAACGCACAAAGTTGGCAGCGAGTGGGTTGAAGCGAATATAGGAGCTGAAAGATGAAATTTTATTTTGTAATCACAGAGAGCTGGCTGAGGTCGGGGCTGCGTGATGCGAGAGAGAATAAGAGAATTTCCACCGGGGGCTGCTTTATTGCATTACAAATCTCATTTTCTCTCTCCGGCCGCGCACATAATTGCATTCACACTGGCAGAAATATAAATTAAACGCTTAAAGCTAAAAAATGATAATTTACGACGACAAGTTCAGTGTGTTCGCGCGCCGAATTACTTTGCACGGAATTTTTCCCCCAGCCCGCTTTTTGTGCGCTCATCACCAGCGGAATATTTCTTCATTACGTACACGACTTGCCAAGGAGGGCTCTGGAGGTGGAGCTCACGGCATTTGTCACCGCTCTGATGTTGGAATTATTATATATCATCCGTTTGTAAAAGGAGCAGAGAACGGACCCTAGCGAGTTCGTAATTGATTCCAACAAACCACGAGACAAATTTATAACTTGCAAAACAATGAGTTGGAATCGAGAAGTTTAATTCAAGAAGGGGTGGAAAATCAAATTTTAAACAAAAGAACGCAAATGTTTGCTTAATAAGATAATTTTTGTTTTTAATGAAGGAATTTTTATGTAAAAATCCTGCTTTTTTATAATTATGATTCAAAAAATCACTTATATAAATTAATAAAATTAGCGGTTTCTAAACGAAACCTCGCTTTAACGTAATTTGAAGCGGAAAAGATTTGATGGCGAAATAATAGATCGACAGACGAATTTAATTATCAATTGTGCGAGAAGTGCGGTGTAATATTTTAGCCGCAACTTTTCAGAGCGTAACGAGATTAACTTTGGTAGAGAGTGTGAGAGAGGTCGGCGCTTTTCTATATGGAGCAAGAAACGGCACGTTTAGGGGTGGCGGAAAAACGTCACGCGGGCGGCGCTAATTAAGAGATATGACCCTGTGTGCAATACGGCGGCACCACTTAGCGACAACTGACACATTGCATTGTGTCTCGCACAAAAGCGTCCGCCGCGTCCCACTAATGCCATTTAATTAAACACACTTTGTTCTTGCTCTTCTGGACCATTAATGCCATTTTTCTGACCAGTCTTCTGAAGGGGCCCAGATTTACCCCAGCGCTTCTTTTGATTCATTTGTCCTTCTAGAATAAGACAATGAACACAGCTTTTTATGGCATCCCAGCTTGTTTCAAAGTTATTATCTTTTCCAAATTAAATCCAGAATATTTGAAAAATAATAGGGAGAATTGAAATTGCAAATTTGCAAAGAAAAATTGTATTAATGTAAAAAGATTTTGTAGTGATTATTTCTGTGATGTGATGTTAAAAATTTTAAGATTTATTTTCTAGATTTTTTCCTAAAAGCTTTTTCAGAACATGTCTGTGATTATTTTCTCCAATTGCTAAAGTTTGTTTTTCTTTTTATTTATAATTTTTTGTGAACATTGACTTGAACTTCAATCAACTTCATTTTGCAATTCTAAGGGTTACTGATAATTAGCCGAAGAATATTTTGTTGACCAAGAAAATTTAACATTTATTAAATTAAAAAAAGTTTATATTTTCAATTAAAATTTTAAAATAGAAACTAATTTTAAAAAATAATTTTGCGTTTAATTTAATTTTATTTAACTTATTAATGTTTTTTATGCAGCATTATATGATAAATATGATTTTATTTTATTACAGTTTTAATATTTTGAATTTTTATAATTACCAAATTTTTTTTTTTAATCAATTATATTATCTATTATTTGTAGTAAAATTTCACTTTTGACTTTACCAGACATTTTGGTGGGGGTAGGGGGATGCAAATGAAACGAATTATTCAAATTCGATCAGTGCAGTGCGCGCGGACAGCAATCCGGGTGCGTGTGTTGTCGGGGGGCTAATTGGATCAGGGCTCGTTAGAGTTGTTTTAAACGTGCGTTGGTGCCGACAGAATTATTTTATTAGTAAATTCACCGAGAGCTGCAGCAAACCAAACAAAAGCCGGAATGGATTTGCCGTGTTTCCAACGCGAGACTGGAGCGAGCGAGTGACCGCTGATGGAGGCAAAAGTTTGAGACGCCGCCAAGCACGACGCAAAATCAAGTCGCTCGCATCGAATCGTTCGACCGGAAGTGATTTGATTTGCACTCGGGACTCGTTTTGTCACCCACCGCAATTCATTCATTCGACAATATGGAGCAGCTCAAGATTATCCGAGTAAATGCACAATTTTGAACATCTTGTACTTTTCTTTTAAAAATTTGGAAGTAAAATTTAAATATTAATTTATCTATTTATTATCAGTATCCTTTTTATAATTTTGATTAATTTAAGAACTGTTTTGCAATTATAATTTTTTTGACACAAAAAACTTTTTTTATTATTGTAAATTATTTTCCCTTCCAAACTAATTTTTATTTAGCCCATGTTGCACATGTTTTTTTTTTTTGTCATTTCTTCTCTCTGTGTATTGCCGAGACTTAAACATTTTTGAAGTTCAAGGGTTCTTTGGCAAGAAGTCGCTTTGCAAATAATGTACACACGAGGCGAACTGCTCGTTCTTCCTTCCTGCTGCCGCTCTTCTTGGAAGGGTGGAGAAGAAGTTCAAGAGCGTACGTGTTTGTTCAGCGAATTTTATTTGGCGGCAATGCGATTAGAGTAACGAGTAACTCGATTACTTATTCATTCTTAAATCAGTTTAGCTAATCGTTTAATTTGCCGAGCGAGAGGGAAAAGGGATAACCTCGTTAGCGAAAGGAGAGCAATTGTCGTATAGGTCTGTGTAAACAACGTGCCAGCAGCGTACACTGCTTGTGAAAATTGAGAGGACGCACAGCCCCTTGCTCCGCTGGACGGACACCAAATTGGATGGAGCATCACACTAATGCACTTATCTGATCAAATCAATTGCCAAGCTGAAATATTGCGCCAACTTGGTGAGCGACTCGCTACGCACAAGCAATGGAATTGCTATGAGGAAAATCATCAAATTTCTTTGATAATGTTAATATTAAGTTAAAATTATATTGAAAATTTTAATTTGGATGAGTTATCAAAGCTTCTAACTTTTTGGTTGTAACAATTTATTTTGTAAATGTTAATGTTTATAATAATTATTTAAGCTTACGAATGCAATGGTTCATGGATTAAAATTGGTTTTGGATTATGTTTAAAAAACATTTTTATTGAAGTCTCGCGCTCTTTACGATATCACATGACGCAACATTGTAAAAGCTGCTGGTGCTCTTTAACAAGCAGTTTCGAAAGAACGACAGGAAAGTAAAATAAAATTGGCAGGTTTGCAGGAACATTCAGACGAGATGATGTGAGAAATCAGTTGTCGCGACCTTTGGCTTCGGCGGCGATCGATTTACTTCTTCCAGCCTCCGTGGCCGCCAGAGCTGCCACCTCCATAGCCGCCTCCGGATCCACCTCCGGATCCACCTCCGTGGCCACCAGCGGCGGCAGCAGCGGCACCCTCGGCGGCGATTTGGGCGGCCAGCTTGGCGGCGTTGGAGGCAGCGGCGGCGGCCAGAGAGGCGGCGCGGTCAGCCTGGGCCTGGGTCTGGTGCAGGTCGGAGATGGCAGCGGCCAGTTGGTTCGAGGCCTGCTGGGCACGCAGCTTGGCCATCTGCAGTTGAATGATTATTTAATAATGTAATTTTCCAGTTAAGAAATGAAATTAAGAAAAATTTGCACTTACGGCGACCATGCGCTCCTGGGCGCCGACCTCCTGAGCGGCCTCACCGGCGGCCTTCTCGGCAGCACCGGCGGCGTTCTGGGCAGAGTTGAGGGCAGCGGTGAGGGAAGCAGTCTGCTGGTTGGCCTGCTGGGCGGCGTTTTGGGCGGCCTGGGCGGCGCGGTTGGCCTGGTCAAGCTGGGCGATCTCGGCGCCGATCTGGGCCTGGGCGTCCTGGGCAGCCTGGTGCAGAGCGTTCACGATGGCCTGCTTGCCGGCGAGGGCAGCACGGGCGGTCTGGGCGGCCTGCTTGGCGTTGGCGGCCAAAGCAGATTTGGCCTGATAGGCGGCCTGCTGGGCGGCCAGGTTCTGCTTCTCGATGGAGGCGTGCGCCTGATCGGCGGCACTGCGGGCGATCGAAGAGGCAGATCCGCTGCCGCCGCCGCCGCCTCCGTGACCACCTCCGTAGCCACCGCCGCTAATTAAATTTGTTTGATTAAATTATTTTTTTTTCTCATGAAACCGGAGTGAATTTGAATATGTTAAGATTGGGAGTTTTTATTTATTTATTTGTCTGTTGATTTTCTTACCCGCCGCCTCCTCCGTGTCCACCGCCGCCACCGCCGCCTCCGTGTCCACCACCACCGCTGCTTCCGCCAAATCCGCCTCCGAATCCGCCACCAAAGCCGTGGTCAAATCCTCCTCCGAAACCACCACCACCTCCAAAACCGCGCTTAACCTGGAAATAAGACGTTTTAATTTAAAAAAATGAACCTTCCATTCAGTTTCAAATAATTACCCTGGTCTCCTGGGCGAAGGCAAATGCGGCAAGAGCTGCAAAACGGTTTATTAGTTAATTAAATACTTGGCTCATAAGTAAATAAGGGTGAAATTTACAGTCAAAATTTTGATTTCAATATAAAGTTTAAATTGATGAATTTCATTTGATTTCTTACCCACAAGGGCGAAGGTGATCATCTGGAACTTCACCATGTTGGTTGAGTGGGAGTAGTTTTGGGACTGAGGTGTATTCTGCAAATTGGAAAATTTGAGAAAAATCCTGAAGATTTAGCTCGGCGACTTGATCTCACCCTGCAAGATCCTGCGAAGCTCTCCAAGTGCTCCAATTGCTTGAAGGACCTAAGAGAGGTGAGCGGAATGATTTGCTCTGGCAGGTGCTTCACTATTTATACTGAAATCAGTGCATTGAGAGCAATTGCAACGAGAAGGGGGATCGATTTCCAAGCATCTTCCACTATCATTGCTCTTCTTTTTCAAGACAATTAAAATCCTCGGCGCGGCGGCCAGTCGGGCTTTTTGTTTCGTTTTGTTCGCCGCAAATCAAACTTTCCTCCTCGTGGCCGTCAACAATAATTCCATTAAAGTGTGATTTTTCCGCTTTAAGCCAGCGTGAATTTTACGGGAAGCCGCCGAACGACACAAAGCCTCATTAGAAGCAGCAAGCAAGCGTCCGCTGGTCCGTCGAACTCTTTATTCCGGCTTATGGAAATACCATTGGATTTCTTTCAGGCTAGCGAATCTCAGCCGCCAGACCGCGATTCATTGTTTCAGCGCCGCCAGAATTGAAAGAGAGCCCCGTTGCGAATTTGGTGCTGCAGCTGTGGATTTCATAATTAATCTGCTCTGGGTCCTGGTGCTTGTAAAATTAAACAGCGTGGAATTAATATTATATCACGAGTGCGATTAATTTATTATGAAGAAAAAGTTCCATTAGTAAATAATTTAAAAAATTACATTTAATTCTTAATTATAACTCAAGAGTAATTAATATAAATAATAAACTGATAATAAATGTATTAATTTCCCGAGATTTCATTAATAATTTTTATGGAAATAATAATAACGTTTTGAACTATTCAGATCTTATACTTATTTTTTTTTTAATGGAAATGAAGATTTGGGCTTTTCCTCGTTGCAAAAAAATTGTTTTTACTCAAAAAACCTATTACATTCTAGGTTGGTACTTGAATTTGTTAGTTTTAAGATTTTTATTTTTATGTTAAAATGTGGTTTTTTTCAATTTTGCAGATTTTTTGTATTTTTCTTGCTCATGAAATAGGGTCGCAGACCGTGACCGAAACTGGTAGAGCCGTTTGTTTTTGAATAAAAACAATTTTTTGCAACGAGGAAAAGCCCGAATCTTCATTTCCATGATCATCTCCTCGAGTGTCAACTTCTTCAAACAAATTTTTTTTTAATTTTATTATTAAAATGACGCAAAACATGTGTATTGATAAATTAAATATTTAATCAAATCATAATTAATATTATACATTTAGGAAATTTTTTTATGTGTTAGCAGAATGTATTAGCGGAAAATATAAATTGATTCAAATCCCACTGCGCCTCTTTTACTTGAAGACACAATCAAGCATTTCTGATTATTTTTGATTTTACAGTCGAGAAAGAAGTCATTGTAAAAAAACGTGAGAACAGATGTTGTCTTTGATTGGACATTAAAAGAGAGGAGACCGGTGCTCCCGTTGAATAACAAATATCAAATGGTCCGTGCGTGCCGACGCGTCCGACTGCTGTCGTGCGGCCTTTCGAAAAATAATGAAACGATCAGCAGCAGCAAGAAAGGCTCCTATTAAAAGACGTTCAGCTTTCTTTGCAAATCTTTTATTTGCCAAAGTGATCGATGACAGGCACAGATTCAATCGCTGTACAATCACCCACAATTTTACGACCGAACTTGTAGCTCAGTAAAATATTATTTTCATTATTTGTTTCATAAAACGCACAGAGGTTAATAATTATCAGTTTGTGCACGGTTTCTGCTGCAACGATCGTAAAACATTAGTTATTACTAGTTTTCCGTCATGATTTTGTTGCCAGTTGCGTTATAGTCGAGAAAGGGGCAGTCATAGGTTGGTTTCTATATCACGGGGAGAATAATTTGTAGAGCAGAGGTCTATCGTGAAACAGTGGCATTTTTTTAATCTAGCGCAGCAATTATGCTTTTTATGCCAACGACACGCACAAAGTAAAAGTTTTAATGGAAATTCAAAAAGGCAGAATGGATTGAAAAACATAATTATTCAATTATTTTGAACCTTTTCAATTTAAATATTTAAATGCTCCAGTTGTTTTCCATTCTTCTATATTGTCAGTTTTATTCGTTCTAGATATAATTTCCAGTTACAAAAAATAATATTTTTAATTTTGTCTTGCGTCCAACTTTGCTGCTGACATGATTGTACAAATTTCTGTTGCTCTTTTGTAAAAGATTACCAGATATTAATAAAACAGACACAAATCCCAGACAAATTACAAGCATTTAGCGTATAATTATTTTTTCTACTCCACGCTTATTTAATTAACTAATTGGCCAACAAGGACAAGCTCAAATACATCTTTCAAAACCCTGTTGTGTTTTTATGCTAATGAGAATTTTTGCATGTCGAGAAGAATGACATGAAAGCTCCATGCATAATTGTTTCATAAGATCGAGTTTCAGCGGCGGACACGCGCCCATGCGGCCGAAATTGAAGTGGCCTTAATTTACGAAAATCTCGGCAGGATTTGTGAAAACTCGTGTACGCAGCATAATCTTTTTTCTCACGTTAGTGGCACACAATAAGCTCCTGCGAGAGCAGATTACGTGTGCGTCTATAGTTCTATGAAAAAATTACTTTCTCTCACTACGACAAGCAAAATTTGACCATAACAAAGAGCGTTACAAAAGCGTAGCTAGTTTACCCGAAAAATAATAGTTTTCCTTATAAATTCTGGTCAAAGTTTTTGTGTGTGTCTCAGTCGAGTGCACATTTTGTGTTTTAAAAATAAAACTTCAGATCTTTTGTGAATTTAAAACGTGATGAGTAATGAGAGCAACAAGTTCATCTTGATAGAATTGTAGAGGAAAGAGGAATTACAAGAAATAATGGAGAGCTGTTTGAATTCCCTTGGAAAGAGATTTTATTTGTCGGGGCATTGCCTCTGTCTACAGTTCTTCGCGGCCGTCTGCGGGCGTGCAAATTAAGTGGCCAGTCTACAGCACAACAATTGAAATGCCAGACTAAGCAAGTTCAATTCATTTATGCAAGGTTTTTTCATGTCTGGTAATTTCCCTAGCGAATTTATAAATTTAATACTAATATAATACTAAATTGCTATTTAGAATTATTAAAATACTTTTTATAATTTTTTTATTAAATAAAAAAGTATTTATACGCTTAAAAGAGTAAAAAGTATTTTAATTATTTATTCTTCTATTTACGTATTAATAAGTTTTTTATTTAGAAATTTTTATCAATATCTTTTAATAATCAAATTAAAACATTTCTATCAGAAAATTCCTCTAACCAAAAAATTTTTATCACAAAATTTTTTCTCTTCTTTGAATCCAAATTATTACAGATGCTGCAGACTTTCATGAGTCCAATAAACTCGAAAAAAATTCATACTTGCATATATCTGATCTTTTCGCCGTGATAAAGCCAATTTGAGACAGCGAAAAAAATAGCGAAGGGGGTACCATTGCTATCAGAAAATTTCTTTTCCCGAAAAATTTTTGTATCAAAATTTTTTTACTGCTTTGAATCTTAATTGTTACAGATGCTGCTGACTTTCGTGAGTCCACGAAACACGAAAAAAATTCATCCTTGCATATATATCTGACCTTTTCGCCGTGATATAGCCAATTTGAGACAACGAAAAAAATAGCGATAAAATACCCATAAATTTATTATTAACACTAAATCTTCCATGATGTTTCATAAATTGCTATGTAAATATAAATTAGAATAATTTTTGTTTTTGCATCTTGAAACATTTGCAACATATGGATAAAATATATGAAAATATAAACACCATTCCATTTTAATTGTAATTTTTATTATTATTGTTATTATAACATTAATCCATTTTTAGGCGTCACCACGATGTGATGTACTGACTTGATGCCCCATTTGCAACATAGTACAAAAATTGAGAAAAATAAAATAATTCCAATGTATCCGTAAATTAAAAAAAACCTCTTTTACATTATTATTATAATATTTTTTTCAGCAGGCTATAGAAATAAATTTCTTTATATAAAATTCTATGAATTAACGTTTGTTGCATGAATGTGGAAGTTATTCATATTGAAAAAAAAATTAATGCCATATGTCTGCAATATACACGTTCAAAATTGTGGCCAGATTGATTGCTTTCGCGCGAGCAGGGCATCAATTTGAAGCGTCACATTCCTTAGCATAATTAACCTCAGACGATTCCGGGCGCTCTCTTGCAACACGCACCTTCAAAAACCGCGATCCTGCTTGGCACAAATTTCTAATCGCCACACGACGTACGAGTTCAAAGAAATTCGAAAAGCACGGAAATGCAGACCAGATTCTTTTAATATTAATTTTGCAATTTGCAATGTAGGACGAGTTTATTTGCTATTTGAACGGTCCGATCGCTTCGATTCTTCATTTAGCGACAATTCATATTTGTGTTTGCGCAGTTGAGCGGAAAAATCAAGATGCAGAAAGATGAATTTGCCACGTACCCGCGCGACAGATTGTAAATCGTGAGCGTCAGAGCACAAAGGGAGTAAAAGTCGGCGATTTAATTGATGCGCTCGGCTTGGAATAATAAAGTGTAACGTTTTAATATTTTAAATAAAAAATCCACAACGGAATTTTTTTAATCATTTGGCTTATAATTTATTGTCATTTTTATTAATCTGTATTATAATCATAGAAATTTATAAACGCAGGTATTCTTTAAATTACAGGGTAAAAGTTAGTTGGGAAACGCCAAATTTAATATAAAATATAATTTTTCCAAGATTTTAAGAGATCAGATTGAATGTGATAATCTTATGTTAATAATTATAATTTTTAATAATATTATATACAAGAATTTAATTGTATCAATTACAAAAAAACATTTGATTTTATGGCATTTACTGTCCTTGATTGATTGATTGAGTTTGATTTTTCTCTCACTTGATGTTCACTGCCCTCCACTCACTCTCACTGTTTCTCTTTCTAAAGATTTTCCCCGCGATGAAAGGCCGCGGCGAAGGTTTCTTGTTAGATTTGAGTTCGTTTCTGATGAAATCCACAATGTCGATTGTAGTCGTCGAGGGGACGGTGGTGGTGCTGGAAACACTCGGGGTGCTTGAAATCAAGGGTGCTGGCGCCACACTGCTGGTCGATGTTGTACTAGGGGTTGATGTGGAGGCGGCTGGGGTTGAAGAGATAAAGTTCGTATCTTGGAAGGAGGAAATCGGGTCCAAAGTGTAGCTCTGGAGTAAAATCGCCTCATTGATCAGAGACGGAGCCGTCACAGTTGAAAATATATCTGAAAATTAATTAAAAAATGTGTTTTTAAAAAAGTCACACGAGTTTGAAAAAATCTCTATGATTTGCAATTACTGAAGCTTAAAAGTGCTGAAAGTAGGGCAGGTAAAAAAAAAATTGAGTAACGCTTCATACTTTGTGAGAAATGTGCGAAATAATTTCACTGAGCTCTGCGCAGTGCTGTTTACTAAACATGGAATATTGACTGTTTACTCTGTCTATATGAAATTTCTTATAAAGAACCCTGAAAAATTTATATGAAATTCCAAAGAACCAAACAACAAAAAGCGAAAAAAATAAACATTTATCTATGTCGAGATCGAAAATCAATAAAATCATTTAGATATAATAAACCAAAATCCTGTAGTTATAAAAGCTTTAATATTCAACTTTTTCCCCGTAGATGTTTTAATAATTGAAGATAAAAAAGAGTTTATTTGTAAAATTATAAGAGAAATTGTATATAAATATCAGTATTATGACGTGAATGAATTTTTCATCTGTATAACAATGAAATGAAATTTGATTGATAATTGTGTGAATGCGTTGATAATTTATTGAAATAAAAATTATTCTGAATCTGAACCAAAACATGAACTGTACCATACCTCCCTAGCAACATATAATTAAAAAGCCAAGATTTTTTAAACAACATTGAACAATAATTTTCATAAAATAATTTTGTTCACCTTTTTTTGGAGCCCAATAAAAATAAAATCGTAGATTCCCAGTATTCGTTATAAGTTTATTATTAAATTATAAATGTTTTTCACTTTTTTTCTTAATAAGGTTGCAAAATAGATCAACATTTGACAGTTAAATTTTTCACTCCAAAGCTTCAATGCTGCTTAAATGTTTAAGTCAAGAGTATTTCGCTACAAGAACACATTGCAAAATTAAATGATTTAATTAATAATTTTTGTTAAAATTATTTAAAAATTAAATTAATGAATAAACATGAACAAATAAGTAACTTTTTTAAGAGAAAAATTTGAAAAATAGCATAATTAGCTGACAAATAATATCTAAAAATATATTATTTTTGTTATAAAAACGTTTTAAAAATAATAAAATTAGTATTCACTTGGCTCTTTTTAAAATAAATTTAAGTGAAATAAAAGATTTCAAAAATAACAAAGATTCGCACGACTGGTCCTTGTTTTCAGTTTTTTTTTTTTTTTTTTCAAATTTACAAGCATATATTTTCATCTCACCTCCTTGCAAGTTTATTCTTATGGAAATTATTATGAGAATTAAATAGAGAAATTTAATGTACCTGATTGCGGCGCTCTAGTGGTGATTGAAATGCGATCAGCGTCCGCCTCCACCCGATTAGCAGTGGTCGTTGTCGTCGACGTTGTTGTTGTTGTCGACGATCCGCTCAGGTCGATCAACTTGGCCGCTTTGGCAGGGTTGTAGATGACCTGCGTGTGACTGGGAAATACGCTGCTGACCCTTTGCTGGCGGAAACTGTTGTTAATTCTGATCCTGGCAAAGGGTTGTTCGGTGGTTGTCGTTGTCGACGGCCGACTACGTTTGATGTTGTACGAGCCAAAGTTTTTGCCGTCCAGCACGGCCGCCTTCAAATTCGAGTAGGACTTGCTGCTGACGAAGGATGGTTTTTAATCCGGTTGCTCGTTTGAATCGAGTTGAAGCCGCGGTAGATTTCGTCTGAGAATTGCGAAACGTTTAATGAAAATCGAGGAGGATATATTTATCTAGGAGTATGAGAGATGCTTTATTTAATTTGCGATGGCACAAAGGGCCACGGCGTTATGCAATATGAAGGATTTGTTTCCGGATCTCATAATTGAATTGTGGGAAATATGCGGAGATGCCATTTGTTGCACAGCGCCGCTCTGATGATATGTGGCGCTAATTCACCTTTGTCTGGATAAGCGTTCGTTTTCAGCAGCAGTTGTTACTGCACTTAAAGTAGGGCTATTAGAGAATTTAACAAGCCAGAAAAGAACGATTTATGGTTTGTTGCATAATTGAAATTGGGATGCCCTCAAAATGTATTACAATATTAGAGTCGCCGTTATTTGTCCGAAATTTTTTTGTCAGAAAACAGCACTTTGCATTGTCAGAAAATAAATTGTCAGAAAATAATTCATCAGAAAACCTGTTTTTCAAATGTCAGAAATTCAAAAGTAAGTAATGCAAGAGTCAGAAATTACTGATTTAAATCAATTTTAATATTCATATCTCATGAAGGCTGTTGTGCTCACAAAATCAGAATCAAGAATAATAACATTTTTGCTAGCAGTAAGTATAGATTTTAGTCTACTTCACATAAACCAAGACTTAAACACCTGTGCACAAGCAAAAGCTTTTTCTGAGTTTTCTGATAAATGAATTTCTGATAAATGGATTTCGGATAAATAAAAACTGTTGTTCTGATAAATGATTTGTGATGAATAATTTTTGGACAAATGCCGAAAAAAAATTTCGGATGTCTTTTTTTCTGACAAATAAGGGTTTCCCCTACTTTATTCGTCTCAACAGTTTTAAAAGAAAAAAAAATCACTTTCCTTTTGGACAAGCTTTACATAAAAAGGATAGCGACAGAGAAATCGTTTTACTACAAGAACTTGAAGCAAATTATAATTTATGATTATTCAAAATAAATTAATAAATAAACCAATGGATAAATATTAACAAACATATAACTTCTTTTTTGTAAATAAAAATTTAAAAAATTAAATTAAGTTGACAAATAATATTTTTATTTAAAAATAATTAACTTTTATAATAAAAATTTTTAAAAGTAATAAAATAGTATATCTTTAATTTTTATTATAAATCAATTTTTTGTAATAAAATATTGTAAAAATGTTTAATTAACTCTTAGGTCTGGTTCTTAATTCCTTGTTTTCAGTTTTTTTTAAATTTTCAAATTCGTAAGCTTATCTGCAACTCACCTCCTTGCATTTTGAGCAGTTCTTGGACGAACCTGGCGAGGGTGTAGGTTGGTTCGCGGTCGATGGGCGGCAGGTGTTCTTCGTGCACAAGAAGGGCGGGGACGATGTCGACCCTGGCGCTCACCCTGAAGGGCGCTGCCGCCAGGGCGAGCAGCAGCAAAAAGAGCTGCTGAGAGGCGCCCATGCCTGACGGAGCCGAAGGATCGAGTGAGTGGCTGCGAGAATGCGACCGACTGACGAGAGTCAAAAGTCAGGGGCCATTTGGCACACACGGCAGGTGAAACACGAGCAGTGCGTGTGTGCAATTAAGCAAGTCGTGGGTGCTGCGCCTTCTCGTATCTCTCTATTACGTTCTCACGCGTGCAGCAGAATTAATTCGGCGCCGCCGCGCGTTTCGCAATCGTGACGAATAGAGGGGATTTACGAACGACACAAATTTCGAACGCTCCCATTATTTCCACTCGATGGGAAATGAACTTCAGGAAGATGCGCTCAAAATTCTATTATAGCAATCTTGCTGTGCGGTGACATCGATTTTCTTGTCAAAAAACAGCGTTTCAAAAATGGTATTATGTCGATTCAATTTTTATTTTTACAAAAATTGTAAAGATTATGTTAGATAAGATATAAGTTTATTGCATTAGACAATTTTTATACATCTATAATTTTTGCCTTTACAAAAAGTCATTAATTCGAAGAAGAAAATATCAAAATGTATCATTAACAAAAAAAGCCAGACACCAGAATTTTAAGTAAAGTGCGCACAAAAATGTTACCTATCACCTATCCTATCCACCTACCCTTTATTTTTATAAATAGTTGATTATAGTCGCCTACGTGGACAAATGGCCAGTCCGTCGCTCCACAAATGGCCATTTGCGCCATATTGGTCTACAAATGAACAATTCGCATTTCCGGTGGAAAACCAGAAAAAATGTGAATCTATACATCTCTGCAGTTAAAAAATTAGCGAAAAATCCAACATGCGGAGCGGATTTAAACTGTACAATGAGCTAAAAAATATTCATGAAACTTGTTCCTTTAAGAAAAAATGCAAAATGCAACTTGCTAAAAATAATTAACAAGAAAAAAAATTGTAGTGATGAGTAATAATGTATATTTTTATAGTTATTCTTACAAGTGATTTGAATTTTCTATAAAATGTATGTAATTGTATAAGTTTTCGAACTAAATAAACTTTCATTAAACCAAACCAAACCAACAATTTTCTGCGCCAATATTGTTCAAAAAGTCACGTTGCATCAGCTCACATGCTAAAAGTACCAACTTTACTCGTAGATGGCAAACAAGAAGCAACGCAAGAAGTGTCTTGCAAGCCACGCTGCCTCCTCCGGTTTGCCATATAAGAATAAATACTTTTAATGCGCCGAATGTTACAATTGGAAAAATGATAAAAATGTTCCTGAAAAATAGGTTATAAATATTCAAATACTTAACAATATTCTAGAAGTAAAATATAAGTAATGTCTTTACTAATTCAAATGAACAGACTCGATTTGGTGAATAATTTGTTAAATGATTGGTTACTGATAAATGTTATAAAAATAAAATAAAGCAATTAAAAAAATTATTGTATAGATAAGCTATAAATAGCAAAATATTTTAATATTTTTCCAGAAGTTTTTATCAGTGATGGCTATAATTTTTGAAGGGTTTAGCGTTTCAGGGATTTTAATGTGAATAATTATTTTAACTCAATTAATGTTGAAAATTTTTTGAATGAAGAAATAAAAAATTCGCAATCTGAATAAAGTTTATGTTATAGATAACTTGATTTTATTACTTTTCTTAAGGTAAAATATCAATATTTGCTAAAAATAATTGAAAAAGGGGATGGTTGGTTTGGCGTTTCTGGGGTTTTAATGTGAATCAATTCCAATTATAATCCTCAATGAAATTAAAGTTTAAAATTATTTAATGAAGAAAAAGTAAAATAATTCAATTTTGCCAGATTAATATAAATTGTGTTTATGCACTCCTCATTTACACGTAAAAATATAATTCGCACGCGATGAAAGAGGTGACAGGCAAAAGACAAGTGGCCATTTCACAATTTGTAGTACATCGTGGGGAAAATTGTGCACTAAAATTAAATGTTAACGGAAATACTGTCTCGTCTCGCCATCGTGTGTGTTAAACACCATAATTGTGTCATGACATAAAAAAATCATTGGCCTCAAGTGAATGACAATTAGATCCTTGGCCGGTCGTTTAATTGTATCACGAAATTTTTCCTTGAAACTCAAATCTGTTTAACAAAACAAAGGCCGATTAAGTAAGCGAAAGAAATTCCTTAGACGTTCTGATGAAAACATTATTTCTTATGTATTTATTCAAATTTTCCTGGGCTGTAAAATAGTAAATCGATACTTTCTCCAGCTTGCTGACATTTCGATCCGAGTTGGAGTTTATACATGAACGGATTTTTGCAAGGTAATAAAATAATCAGTAGTGCGATTTCGTAGAAAGAAGCGCGGAAAGGCTCATTCATCATCTGCACACTAAATGTAGCGAAATGCCGAATGGATCTGAACAATTAACAATTATAAAACTTTGTGGAAGTGCGTGTTTGCTCACATTAGTGAAACCGACAGATTACGTTTCGATGTGGTGTTGCGAATACATAGAGCGCTCTTTCGCCAGCACTCTGCAATTAGCCTGACACTTTTTGAAACACGCACATGGAAAAATCGAATCGTGTACGAGCATTGAAAACTATAATGCAAAATACAAATCTAAATACCGCCCACGTAGTGCACGTTTCTAAAAATCGATGAAAAGGGAAATTTTCAAAGAAAGCTGATTTTAGGAAACATAGTTGACTTTTAATTTCAGCTGTGGAGTCGTGAGAATAATTGGATTTATCATAATTTTTGAATAAAGATACTTTGCTCCATTCCAAAAGGATCGCATTACAATAGAATAATTGTCAAATTGGTTCTTTAGAAAAATGGCTTTAAAATAATGGAGGCGATGGGAAAAATATAAATTATGGTGTCATTTGAATAATATCATTTTCTTGTCCTGCGTCGAGAGAAACCCGTGAGCACTTTTACAACTTCCTTGAATTTTTTATTCCACTATAAACAACGTGGTCACGTTCTTACAGCCTTTGCTGTGGCTATTTAGAGGTGTGAATATAGTTTTGTGAAAAATTATATTATTTTTCCTAATTGTTACGTTACATTGTTTAGATTCTATTACTTGTGAAAGCAATTTATTTGTATCGAAAGGAATTGTTGGACAAAACGGGACCACTACTATAGCAAATATTTTGCAAAAATTTCAGAGAAATTTGAAAGAACCATCAAAACAAAAGCACATTAAAAGATTTTTGTTTGAAGAAGTTAGAAGTTGACTCTCGAGGAGATGATAATGGAAATGAAGAGATCGGGCTTTTCCTCGTTGCAGAAAAATGGTTAAAAAAAAACAAAATTTGAAAAAAGAAACAATTCTTCTGCAACGAGGAAAAGCCTGATCTCTTTCATTTACATTAATAGGTGTAAAATTATATGTTTGGTTGTATTTGGGTGTTTAAAATGTGTTTACGCGTGAAGCAGCTTTTAATCGGGTAATCGCTATTGCTTTATTGGCATTTGTTGCTCTTTCTATAATCTTAGTAAATATAATATTAAACTTAATACTAAATTCATTAATTTTATGTAATTCTCAATATGTATAATGATGCGTGTAACAAATCCCAGGCAATTTTTAAATAATTAATAAAAATGATTGATAAGGTTTTAATTATAATTTGTAAAGATAGAAAAAAAAATATTTAAATGTTGAAAATTATTAAGTAATATATGATCTGTCCTGTAAGTAACGTATATGTTTCGACGCGCCACAAGTTGCATACTTTTAAGGTGGATATACTGGATATGTTATTTTTTGAAGTCATATTTATATTCTCTATTATTTATTTCCTTTAGTCTCTTCAAGTATTCAATATTTTTTTCATCAAATAAAATTTCTTTTTTAAAAAACAATTCTACAGGAATACGCTTTTTTTAAATTTAAATTTTTCAGTACAAAATCAAATTAATGTCGTCGATGAATTTGCTCTGAGTCAGAGCCTCTGACCATGAAAGACAAACTGGGGCTGTGGAAAGTGTGGTCGTGCAGGTTGCCGAAGTTGGATAGTAGAGCGACGAGTGCTCTTCGAGGGTCTGCACAGACGGCACATATTGGACGATGGAGTTGTGGGACGGCAGGGCAAACAGCCCAAAGTTGGGCTTGGCCGAGATCAAAGGACACTGCAGGGCGAGCAAAAAGCTGAGCACCTCGATGTCCTCGATCCACGTCGACGACAAGCGCGGCCCGACTGGTGCGTAACTTTTTGCGTCCTTTCTAAGTATTTTTAATGATAATATTCCTGACTGCCATTACCTGCAATGCGTATTTGGGCACAAAAACTCATAATTAAACCTTTGCGATCAAAATTCGCAATGGGTTCAAAGGTAGGGACTTTTGCGATAAAAATACACATAGACGGGCTAGCTCTGGGCAAGCTGCGGTTTTAGGTTTATTATATCATCGAGATAATAATAATAATTATGCCTACTATGCCAATTAATTATATCAATTGTGTCATTTTCGCTTCAAATTATTTTTTATTGAAAAATTATTCAATGAGTGTTCATCATACATACATGTTAAAGCACACTTTTACAATTTTTTTGAAAAAATTGTAATTGAATCATATTTTGAATATGATTAAAATTATTCAATCATATTTAATTAAATTTCCAAATTTCAAGGTGACTTGAATTTAAATTCGGCTTTTCCTCCAATGGTTGTTTATTGTTTAAGAAAAATCAATTTCCTGCTCTACATGTTTCGGCTGCGCGGCCTGCGGGCTGCAGCCACAATTCTCGGCGTTTGTTGAGAGAAGACGAAAAGCTGAATTTAAATTCAAATCACCATTCGATCGTAAAATTCAACCACAAATTTTCAAATTCAGTTTCAAGAAAATAGCATTCATCAAATTGTATTTTATAGGAATTAAGGGGGTAATTTCACAAATAGCCCGCAAGAGGGAAATTGTAAAAAAAAAATTAATTTCTATCCTAATAAATTTACGCACCCATGTATCGTGCAGGTTTCGCAATCAAGAAAGGGTTACGTCATGAATGAAGTCGCTTCACTCGCGTTGCTCGGCGTCTTTGGATTCAGTGTCAGAGAGGCGCAGTCAGTCAGTCCTTTGCTCGCGGCCGCAGGAGGAGCAAGCATAGCAAATTTGTGTTTCAAAGCGCCGGCGAGCGGCACCACGACCGTATATATTATTTCATCCGCCGCCGCCACCGTTCACCCTCTGTAGTAACGCGGGGTGGCTTTTTGGTGTTAATTTCGTTGGTGGAACAAAATTTCAATCATGCACAGGCACCAGAGTTTTGACAGCCAAGGCGAACCCATCGACTATTGCTGTGAGTATTTTTATTCCAACTGCGCGACAATATGGACAATTTTCTTACAGTATAATTAATGAATTCAATGAAAATATCGCAGGTTAAAAGTTTTTAAATCAAATTGTATATATTTTTCCGCAACACACGCGAATCGCGGGTATTGTAACTTGACACGTTTATGGAAAGGAGTGATTTGAAAATCATTAAAAATTTTTTTTTCAATTTTTTATAAATTTCAAAGTTTTAAATTTTTATAAACATTTTTAGTACGGGCCGTGCTATTTTTATCTTGGGCGATTTATTGGACATTGATGTGCTGACACTCTTAATGTGATTTTTTTATTAAATAATCTCGCATTTATTTTTTGCAAGACTGAAAAGTCGAATAAAAAATCTTCTGATATTTTCATAATATTTCTTAAAAGGATTGTGCGACGAAGAAATCAATTAAATCTTGGAAAAGTCTAGAATTGACCACCCCTGATGGTGAGCGCATTAATTAATATGTACTAATTCGCGGCACTTTTAAGGTTTCTAAAGCGCGCGCGCCACTTGTAACCCCGGTAAAGAGGAATTGTAGCCTGGCGAACAAATCGCTTTCAGAATCATTAGTGTCGTGGGTCGCAATAAATCTGATTAGGCGGAGACTTGCTAAATTCAAAATGTCACTTTGATTTCTAAGACTTCCATTGTACACAGAGGCATTCTCGTGTGCAACTGCATCTTTATAATCTAATATAACAAATTTATCGTGTTCGAAATTTGTTCTATTCAAAAGTTATCGATTGTTTTGCGCAAAAATTGTACTTTCATTGGCCGATATTAAGCACAATGGAATAAATCTGTCAAATTTGAATAACGTTTCGTTTTTTCCAGCTATCAAGCAGCTTACTTTGGCAGGGCATCAAATTTTCCCATTGGCCTGGCCAAAACATATCTTTTTATGGGGCAATCACGAATAATAAATTTTGGAGCACAGCTTTTCAATATGCCTTTCGTTTGATACTCGGTGCGGTATGCGAGTATATCTGATATTGGCATCAAATCTCTCTCTGGCCACGCACAAAGCTCGCAAAGAGACACACCCAAATGAAAATTTTCAGCCGCGCGCACACACAACAAAACACACTCGCAGACAACAAACTCTTTCATAAAGAAGCCTGTTAGCATATATGATTTTGGACCGACTGTGAGAGAGCATGGAAAAATGCCGAAATGTAATAAAATGCTCTCTGAGGCGCTGGCAGGGAAAAGAAGAAACCCTCTCCATTATTCAGATTCAGACGATCATTTTGTGACTGGAGTTTTTCTGCGGAAACGTTTGCTTCTGAATTGCCTTGTAAGCAATGCACTCTGGCTAAATAAATAATTCTCTTCTTGGCCATCCGTAAATAATAATTCAGTAAATATCATGAAAAATATTTAAAAGTCCGACAGCAAAATAAAATATTCAATTAATAATTTCAGTGATTTTACCATATATTTTGAGTCTCCGTTATTGCCCCTAAAAATAATTGTCCTAAATTTTTCACTCCAATTCCCCTAAAAAGTAAATGTCCTAAACACATTTGCATATTTTAATAAAAATTGGTCTTGTTTTAAAAGTAGATTGCCATGGAGCGTTACAAATCCATTAAATCTAAATAAAAAGCAATTATTTGTTCTCAGCTATGTTGCGTTTGTTTATCTCTGGATGATGCTGCGCTGAATTCACAATTTGGAAACACCAATGCCCGCGTCCACACCCACTCTACTCATTTCGATCTTCTCTAATTCGGAAATCTTCAGTGGGCGGATGTCACGCGTCTCTTAAAAATTAGCTCGCTGAGTCACACCGTTCTTTTCTTTTTCAAAAATTGTTCTCGCGCGCAAACGATAATCTGGCCCAATTAGGAGCGTGTAAATTATTGGTTTCCTCTTCATTGACTCGCCGCCCAAATTCTACAATTGCCGCCGAGGAGCGATAAAAGCAGCCGAACACGCCAAAGTGCACAAACACACCAAGCGTGTTTATTTGCCTATCTATCCAAGGCATGCTCTCTTGAAAATTGTTTGGCCTCACTCCAAAAAAGGCGAAAACGCACGCCTACTGGAAAAAATATAAAATACAGGAGAGCTGCGCGTCTCTCTGCATTATGCAAATCGACCACTGCTCTCGGCAAAGCGAATTCGCTCTCCGGTTGTAATTAAATTGGAGCCGACAGCCCCAATTACCCTTTGCTCATAAATTTCAATCTCTCCAGCTTCACCAGCATTATTATTGTTATTAACCCGTCTTGTACTCTCTTGCAACTCGATGGCTTAAAAGCGCAAGAAGACGCGTGCTAAGCTCCTTGTGCGTTTTAAATTAAAATTCCTGAGTGCGGGTGATAAATTTTGTGCTGCCAGCAAAGATCAATGAGCGGTGACAGATAGAACAAAGAGCACATTTTTTAAGTGCAATAAGCAATAATTTGATGATGGGCAATTTACGATCGAATTAATTTTTCAGCTCTCGTGCCTTCAGGATGTAATTTATGATTAATGGTCATAGCCATTTATTTAATTACTTGGTTAAAAATAGTATTTTTTTTTTTTTAGAACCTACAAACTAATCAGCTGAAGGCAAAAAAATTTAATAATGGGAAAATAGATTATTCTTGTGGGCAAAATTTACCACTAGCTTTGGTTGATTTTTTTTCAGCTGAAATAGGAGACAAATAGGTGATAATTTTTTTACGTCAAAAATATGAATGCTCTTTATGGATGAATTTTTTTTTTTATGTTTTATTTTTGAAAAAGGGTGATTCATTTATAACAATTTTACAAATATAAGATGTGAAAAATCTCAAAGTAGATAAAATTTGATGGAAAATTAGTGTTTTTCTTCACTCAAATAGGTTGAAAAGGTGATCAACTATTTTCCAACCCTACATTTAACAGGGCTGTACATAAAATGAAATAATAATCATGCGAAAGCCACAAAATATGAAAATTATAATTTCTCTTTTCAAAATTACACATTTTTACGCTAACGAAGATCATTAATTTGAGATTTATTTTACAAAATTTAATTAAAATATTTATCGTCATTTTTATTAACCTTTCGCAGAAAAGGCCACAGTCTTGCTTAGTTAATTAGGTTCGTGCGTACACTTTGGTCGCGTTACATGGCAAGTAGGTGTTTATTTTGCATTAGCGAGTGAAAAATGGGCAATGAGTGACCACAGCTTTAACTCGCTATCAGCAACAGATATCTCATTAGCGCTCACACCTACAGAGGCTTCGTTAATTCCGTCGCTGCGTATATTTATATCAACATTTGTATTTTTAATGAGGCGCGGCGCACCCTGCTTAGTAATAGTCGCCAAGTCCCTCAGCGCCGCCATGGCATGAAGAATATTAAATTGCGTTTGAATGTTACCTGACCGCGTACACGTGCGACTTTTTAATTAATTAAATGGTGACGTCAAATTTGATTATGATCGTCTCTGCAAATATTTAACGTGTGGAGCCTATAATATAATTATATGAGGCAGAGATGCGTGCTGAGTGAGTTGCACAACAGTACACTTCTGTTGACGGTGCTCGCTGAAAGTTGTGCGCAGACAAAAAAAATGTTGCGAATTGAATTAAAACCAACCTAATTAAGCAACTCGTGGTTTGAGAGCGGGTCAAATTATGGATTCATTAATTAGTCCCAAAGCGGACTGACACATTTTTATAATTGAAATAATTGTACCTCTTTTACATTCTAGAGTTTCATTAGGCACACGGGTATGGAGTTAAATTAAAGTAAATAACTATCAATTTGAAAATTCACTGAAGAACGATTTTTTTTTCTTTTAAATTTCTTTTGGAACACCCAAGAGTATTTTTATCACTTTCAAATTGTATTGATTTTCAATTTATTCTGTTTATTGACGAGGAACGTTTTATTATTTTATTGCACCATTAATTTTTGCAGAAACCATCACATCATGAATATTAATTTTCTGCCGCATTCCACTAACTTGATACAAGGTCAAAACCAAAATCAAGATTTGCATCTTCTCAGCAATAAAATTATAGAAATAAATAAATAAAACGGTGGTGCTTTAATCATTTACGCATGCCGCAGACTCCTTCAACTTTTACTGCCACTCGCCTGTAAGTTTTTAAGTGTGAAAAATCACTTAGTCGCGGCGACACGGTGATCTCGAAGGCAAAATCTTAATCCAGCCACTCTCCTAAACGAGGATAAAACGCGCGTCTTGAAAAACTTGTTTCCAATCGCGTATATACAAGAAAAATTTACGAGCCATGTCTATCGGCGAGGCCGACACGCCGAACTTCGCAACCGCGTTAGGGAAAAATTTCACACCCAAATTTGATTTCCATACATAAAAACAGCGGCGGCTCCTCTAACGCGCCGGTTTGTTTGCAACTCGCAGGGCAATTAAACGCCCACACGCACGAGGAAAACTGCGCGTTCTCTGGAATTAAAAATAACAACGATCACCATCGCAACCAATGCTATATGATTTATTCCCCACTGCTCTTTATTTATTTCAAAGAGAGAATCACAGCAATTTTTATGTAATAAGTAGGAGTGTTAATTCAGCCTTTGATTGTTGTGAAATTACCAAGGCATGCGTGTGTGCATCTGAATGGAGTGACGACAGGAGTTAATGCGTTTTTGCTGGCTGCTGAACACCTTGAACGGTTTGGGAAGGGCCGCGTCCGACAACTCAGGTGTGGGACTATAATTAATGCATTTCATAGTTGGCTGCACTACACAGTTGATTGCATTTGTTAGATTAGAGAAGGAAGTGGTTCTCTGCGTATGTAAAAAAGCAACAGCAATTTATTAAACACAACCTCCCAGGTTTTCAATTTGCGAGGAATTTGTTCCTCCCGGTTGTTGTTGCGTGCAATTAATATTCCGAGAAAACCGAGAGAAGGAATTTTTAACGTACAAAAATATTTCTTAAAGATTCTTTGACGCTTGACTCATTAAAATCATATGCCAGGAATATCTGCGTGAGCTCCAGAGAGAAGGAAAATTAATCAGCCGAGACCGCTTACTTTTGATGTTTTACTGTAAAATTAAATTACCTCGTTAATCAAAAATTATGAAAGATAAAATATCAAAGGAGGTTTTTTCAAGAAATTCTTTTTTCAAGCTGGCACGATTAAAGTATAAATCAGGTTATAAATCTTACTTCTTCCTCCGGAATTATTAAAATGTTCACTGCTATATATTTATCAGTAGTTAAAATTTTAAATTTAGATGTTAAATAATGACTTATTAATATCGGAAATATTAAAGTAAAAATTTAATTGATGTCTATGGCTGTACAGCAGCGCATAATTTGACCAAATTTTTAATTTTTCTAAAATATTTGTCAATATTTGATTTTTTCCATTGAGACTTTTTATTATTTATTTATGCGTGGATTGCGTGGGGGCCTAAAACATTCTGAGTTAGACTTGACACGCATAAAATCAGAAATAAATAAGTGGCTATAGTCTTGTCACACAAAAGCTTATAACTTTTCAGCAACCGCCGCTGTCGTAGGTTGTGTCACTTTTGTCGTCAGGCCTCTCACGAAAATATCAACCCAAAAACTAAATTATGGAGCCGTTATATCTATTCATGCGAAAATATCATTGGAATTTATCACAGCTCAAGTTGTCACACAATGAGAATAACAGAAGGCACATAATAAATATTCAGCGTGTGAACAAATAAAACAAAACCTCGGCGCGCTAATTCCAGATCGGGCAAAAATGTGGCTCTCGATTAATATTCTGCACTGGAGATTCGGTCGGAAATCGTGCGAAACGATCCCATTGTTTTTTGAGACACTTGTTTTGAACAAGCAGCGATTTCGAGTGTACATTAAAAATGACGCAAAGTCAGTGCGTGCGATTTTATCTCTAGCTAGATTTTTATGGCGTGGAAAAAACAAACGTGTTCAGGTGCAAAAATTCAACATTGTTAAGTCATATCGCACCGTATGTGTTCTTTTGTGCGAAGCGTGCTTTGCATAATTTACTACTGGATGCGTACTTGTTAAAGGTGTACGTGTCAATAACAAAGTACACGCATAAAATTATTGTATCTGGAAATATTAAAAAAAAAAAAACATGCCTCGGGTTGCCATTGGAGAAGAAATTTATAAAATTCCTTAATGATTCAATAACTTTTACTTTCCTAAAAAAAATGCAGGCAGATTATACCAAGAAAAAGCAACTGCTCTTTTCCATTTGATGAAATCATCCAGTACTTAATTGATGATTATATGAAGTCTCATTGCCTTCTTTCAATAATTAATTGGAAGCAAAAGGCTCGATTTGCGTTGACCGTCAAGAAAAGTTCATGCACTTCCACCGATCACCTTCGGCAAAGTTATTACAGCACAACCTACAGAGCTTATAAATAATGCAGCGCACCTGACGGTGGATTATTCTGAATCAATCTTTATACACGCCGTGTTCCATTATGCGGAGCCTGTTATTTATATATATTCTTTCTCTTGATAGTTCATAATGACAACAAAAGAGCAAAAGTTCCTGCTACTATACAACACATGCTATAGATCCACGATGCGATCCTTGGCCGCTGCTCAATGAAATCACTATAAATGAGAGGTAAAGGCCAGCGGAGCAAACCGGAGCGGACACGCGGCCACTGACTCACATGTTGTCTTTTTTGCCGCATTGACCAAATCGGACTGGCGCCAAAGGTTACCGCATTTATTATTATGCTATTTTGGACTGCATACAAGAAAAATAATTCACGTACATATCGTTCTCTGCGGTCTCTTTTTGGATTAAAGTTCGGACTCGGACGAGAGAGAATTTAAATTTATTTTGGAGCCTATTTGAACTTATTTGCATATAAAGTCCGTGTAACCTGCAATTTTACTGTCATTGTTTTGTGAATTGTGCATTGTTTTGTAGTCATGAGGTACTTTATGGGCCCAGTTTATTTTTAAATGGGATCTAATTTGTGAACCGTTTTATTTCCAAACAACAGAAACCATGCAAAACAATATGATTCGTGAGGCCTGTCGGGTTTTTTTTGCGTTTCTATATTTTTTTTAAAATTTGCCCTATACGTTTTCTGTTATGAAAATCTACCATCTTTTTTTGCATATCATCTAGAAAAATATATTTTTTATAAAATTTTCCTGTATGTTAAGAATTTCAATTCAAATTGTATAAGGTTGGAAGACGATTGAGACTTTCAAAAGTTCATCGCTTTTACATAATTTTTAATGCGGTTTATCCACCTTAATTTTGATTGTGGCTAATTCAAATGGAAATCGTTATAGGTACGTGTTCTTATAATCTCATCTCGAGAGCAATGTTTGGCACATGATATGTGAAATGTTGTGCGAGTTATGCTCTAGGCCAAATGAAATATTCATAAAACCCGCGCCGACCCATGAAAATGCCTGACAGAGAAAAGCCGCTCTCTCGGCAGACCACCAATTACGCGCGAGTGGTCATCGCAATGGTTTTTATTTTTCTTATACCGCGAAATGTGCTTGCAGAATTTCTCTGATCCCATATAATTTTCTCGTGATGAAAAAGTAGAGAGTTTGTTCTCGGTGTTTTTCGCAACTCCTAAAATATGCCATCAGTGAATTACTTAATTTTGAATAAGTGGTGCGCAATTGAGCACCGAGCGAAGGAGTTGTCCAATTTACTTGGCAGTTTAACTTCATATAATTCTGCTACACACGCAAAGGGTGGAGCTCCGGTTGGAATTAAGCTGATTTAATACGTTCATTAAAGTAGCTGTAAAACGTAATTATTGAAATCATGAATATAGAATTTAAAAAAAAAATAATAATAAAACTCCTAATATTTCATATAATGATGAAATATTATTCATTAATTTGAATGGAGAATAAATCAATCAACAATTTAAACAAAACATGATTTTAAAAAAAAAATTTAACACATCGTATCTTAAAATAATAAAAAAATTTTATCTCTTTTTATAGATTCCCTAGGAAGTACTGACGCTTCCAGTGGTTGTTCAAGCCCTCGAACCCTCATCAGGCCGTCCAGTGCATCAAACAGTCCCGTCTACATGCAAAACCCATACAACTTATCTGGACACTCGTCTCCAGTCGATTTACATTACCAAGTAAGGCAATTTTTTTTTAAGTGGGGCCAATTTAAGCTTACACGTCACTTTACTATTTTAAATTTAAGCACCAAGTGAGATTCAGCAGCACGTCGCCTGAAGTGCCAAATAATTTAGGTGGCCTGGCAATTTTTTCATTTGTCAGCGCTGAGAACAATTTTCAAGCGCGAGTAACTTTTCCCGAGCTGCAGCATCGGCTGAGGGAGGCTGTGGCAAACAGTGCCCTACTCCGAGGAGGAATGTTGCTCGATTCAAGAGAAAGAGGAGGTCTTAATTTTGACTATTTTAGCAAATTACTTTAAATCCAAGATGAATTATTCGATATGTAATTGTTTGAAATCTCTAATTTCAGTTCTGTTTCCCATGGTCCATTTTACGGAGGAAAAGGAAACTCTAAAAAAGCGCCTTCACCAGCACGGAACTTTGCTTGACAGCAAGACTTTGGGACCTGATTTTCACTTAGAGCAAGGTGGCGCGCATCCCAAGTTTTAATCTAATTTAATATTTTTTCACAAATTATTCAGGAGTTTATCGAGAAGTGCGAAACATAATCCCTGACAGATCTCCTGGTTATGATAGTGACGACGATGAATTCAGCTACATTTTAATCGGCTTCAAAAGTTTGGACACCTGCTTCAGCAAAGTATAAAATTCAAAATATATTAAAAAAAAATAATATAAAATTGGAATAAATTTTCCTAGGTGATGGTAGATTCGTGGAAAGACTGGACAGGAGCGCGATCTATTTATCTCAACTTGCCCGATGAGTTGGGACTTTCGAGGATCAGTTTCTTCCACAGGGAAACTCCCGAAGACGTCCGTCTCTTCATGTATGTGGTCCTGGTCGAGTGTCGCAGCGCCGGCACCCCTGAGAGAGCCTGCCGTCTCTTGGATTTCACGCAGCGCCTTCGAGTAGAGAGAATGGCTGGTTATGTGTCTGTCTATGCCCCTTTGAGAAGAGCAACCCTGGAATCTTCAGCGGCTGCAACAGTTTTGCCTCCCGTGGTGCAAAAACATGGAACCAAAGCAAGGAATCTTTTGCAGCACTTGAATGGCAGCCAGTGGGCTACACAATGATTGAAGTTTTTATGTAAAAAATCATTTTGATATTGATTGTTGAACCTCAGTTGAACTGTAAACATTTTAACTGCAGCATTCCAAACCAACAAACTTTTAAGATAACTCGTAAATATACAGCCTTTAAAATTAAATTCAAGAGTGCCTGCTTGTGCGCCATAGAAAAGAATAATTAACCAAATTTAAATTAAGCTTGTCTTAACTATTCGCTTGTTAAAAATATATGTCTTTGACGATATAGCATGAAAAGGCTTTGGTTCTAATACATATTAAAATACTCATTATATTATCTACAAAATTCCAAGTGCCGAGTTGATTTTTGAAATTTGATTCTCCTTCAGCTGAGATGCCTGTTTCAATTCGTCTGCTAGCATGGCAGCTTCTGCGAATCCGGTTTCACAGGCAAACACAATGCATTTCTGAAAATGAAAAAAAGCTGTGAAAAAGGCACATTGCGAATACTAAGGGTAATAAACGCACCACTGCTGAGTCCAGATCATTTTCAGCGACAGCTCTCTTCATAAAAATTCGAAGAGATTCAACAGAAGGTGGAGCTCCATTGTACTCGTCCAACAACTTATCCAAGATTTTAACTGCAAAATTGTACTTGTTGGCTCGCACAGCCAAAATCATGCAGTTTCCAAGGTTTACTCCCGACCACCTAAAATTAACACAATCAACACATAAGCCATGTACCAAAAAATTTTAAATAAAGATGATGATTGGGAAAAATTTAAGCTTACGTAATTTTGTTGACAAAGCGTTTTGGCTGAGAAGCAACTTTTTCCCAGTAGTGTTTTGCTGCCTCATAAAACGAGGTAGCCAAAATTTGCTGAGGGTCGTCTGGCTCTACCGAAACGTACAAGTTTTTGACGCTATCCTGCTGAGAGACGGCAGATTCAAAGGGAGCCACTACGTTTGCCTTGACAGCTGTGTTGAACCAGGCAGTAACCAGATTATCTCTATTAATCTAAATAAAAACCAATCAGAACTCATTTTTCTGCAGGTTAGTTAAAATTCTACCTGGTCGAAAACGACTAGATCCGACCATATTTGAGGAAGCATTTCCCATGATCCATGGAGGTCGATTGAGCGTACGATGTCCTAAAACAAAAACGTGATCAATATCAAATCTAAGAAATTGTTAACTGTCAAAGTACCTCCATATTTCCTGGCTCAGGGATGTAAATGTTTGGTACATATTTGTTGTAGATTTTCATAAACTCGTCCAGTGGCTCCAAATTTATGAGAAGTGAAAAGAAAAGGCGGTAATAAATGCTCTCCTTGTATGTATCACCTGGACCAAGGAAATTAAAATTAATTTTAGCAGTCAGATTATTAAAGTAGCCTATTTTTTAGTTCGTACCAATAAAGTCATAATTGTTGTGGGAAAGTAGAAGATTGTGGACACGTCTTGCCAAAGCTGGATCCTCCAATGAATTTTTGCAAACGTCCATTGCAGTGACAAAGAAGAAGGTGTCTTTGGGGTCTCGTATTTCAAGAGGGCCTTCACTCTCCAAAATGGTTATTATTTCCTGGAGAACGCCGCTCTTTGGTCCCCCTAGTTTATTAACAATTATTTTAATCCAGTGAATCCATCACAAATAAAAACGCACTGTCGCGACTGAAAATATTGAGAAGGTGGTAGTAAGAAGCCAAGGACGGCTTGATGCCCAAGAGCTTGAACTCAGCAATCAACCTAGTTGCAAAAGTTTTTGTCTGGCTTTGACCTGAGCTGCTAACCATCATATCCAAAATGGCATTAAGAGTGCCGATGTTCGGCTTCACTTTATTTGCATTCATCTCTCTCAGCATTTCCTTAGAATACAATTTTGTAAGTTTAAAAATATTGAAATAACCAAATAATACCTCCACAAGCTCTGATCGTTTTTCGATGGTGTCTCGGACAAATCCAACAAGTTTGAAGATTTGGTTGTAAGTGTCGACGTCAATGGGCTCTGCCGCACTCCTCATGGTCTTGTACATTTCCCAGCCCCGATCAGCCTTCAACAAAATTTTTACTCCCACTCAATTTGCTCAAAAATTGTGCGATTTACCTGACAATACTTGGCCATTCCTCTCAGAAGAGCACACTTTGCTTTGTTCAATGCTGGCCCTTCTTGAAGCTCTTCTTTTATCGAGTCGAACAACGCTTGTGCCATTCCAGCATCACTGAATAATTGAAATTAAGATTTGTGTAAAATTAACATTGTGCGAAGGCCTACTTCCAAGACTTCTTTTGTCTGCTTTCTTTCTTCTGAAACTGAAGAAACCAGCGCTCCTCAATGAACTCTTCCGGTAAAGTTTCCTCCGAATTAAAGTAGCTTAGGAATTCTAAGAGGGCTTGCCGAGCTTCCAACGACACAGCTGAGAATAATTAAATGCCATAAAAAATTTGATATATTCCTAAAAAAAAATTAATCACAAACTTTGGCCTTGCTTTTGCATTATATCATAAATCTGCAACGCTTCTTCAACTCTAGCACCATCGATGGCCAAATGCAAATCATTTTCTGTGACCTTAGAGTCTGGAGTGAAAACTAGTTTGGGTAAGAAAGCCTATGGAAAAAAATGCATTTTATAATTAACAAAATTATTGTTCAGATTATTTACGGGTATTGCTGGATCTGCAGTCCTTGCATTAAAAAGTTCAGCATTCTGAGCCATGATCCATTGAGCCGCTTTTTTACCAGATTCTTTTGCCAGGGCAAACGTTCGTTTTCCAATGTTTGACAAGGGAATGAGAAAGGGATCATCATGATACTTGTAATGCGGCGCAGTGTAATCAGTTTGAATTGTGTTCGAAAGTGCCTAAAAATTTGCAACACATTTTTTAAGTACAAATTACAAAATACTGGAAAAATATTTTTATCCAAATTTTCATTACCCTCAGGATGTCCGTTGGCCCTCTATCAATTCTATTCGGAATTTTTATTTCGGGCTTTTTGGCTGGCGATTGCTGAGAAACTCCAGAGCATCGTCTAGTGCAGTGAGTGGCAGTCGGCAAACGGGGTCTGCAATTTTATTTGAAAATTCACTTCTTCTGAAATAAAAACCTCCAAGAAAAATCTTGAACCTTATTCGAGCTAGCACGCTGCACATATTCTTGATCTCCATCAGAAAATCTGTCTAGATTATTTCAAATCCTTTATAAATTTATAAGCATGAATAATTATTTTTTAGTGTTGATGTTTCTGCCCACGAGCAAGGAAAAATCGTGCAACATGCACAAGGAGAAGAGGGGCGTGATCGCAATTCGCAAAGTAGGGGGGGGGGGTGATGAATATTTCAGTGCTGCCAGCTTAAACTGTCTACAAAAATATGGCAAACAGAGGTTCTTTTGTAAATATTAGGTTGGCTACCTAGTAAATAGAAACTCCTTTGTTTTGCTTCTTGAAACTTCCTTTGCAAAAAGTGTACGCATAAAAACCGTGACATTTAAATTTATATCAATTAATTCATTGGGTGTCCCATTGTCATTAGGCAACCATCCAACTGTTCAGCTGTTTTGGCAGCTTTGTACGTATTGCACTGACCGCCCATTGCCCATTCCGACGAGTGAACATTTAGCCAGAGGAAAAGAGTGGAAATATTGGGTCACTTCTCGTCACTTGGTGAGCATGAGATAAGATTGAAGATTGAATCATTTTTTCGTTGTTCAAAGTCCAAAACAGTCTAAAATTAAATAGCATGCAAACGTTATACCTTAGAAGCTAATTTATTGTTCGCTGATTGATTCCGGCCTTCAAGAAAAGATCAAAGTTCAACTCATTATCAGTAGTCGCCAAGGAGTACACATAACTTCTTGAACCTATTAGAGATATTAGACAGACAGTTTTAAACAATATAACACCGTCTTTTTGTCTCTTCCGCCAGAATACATCTTGGAGTTTGGAGTTTAAACCAACAACAGAAAATACCCTTCGAAAATGTCGTCGCTCACTAAAGGTAATGCATTTTATTATACTGCATATGTACATACATAATCTCAATTTTTCCCTGTTGAAAGAGAAAATAATGAATCTAATTATTAGGAATATTTATCGTCGCTGCCAAGCGCACTCCTTTTGGCACTTATGGAGGCAAATTTGTGAACAAGAGTGCCGCTGATCTCCAGGAAGTAGCTGCCAAGGCTGCCCTGGCCTCTGGCAACATAAAGCCTGATTCCATCGATCATGTCATTGTTGGAAACGTTCTTGGTGTAAGTAAAGAAATAATTAAACTAAAATTATAAATAAAATGAAAATTTAGGCCACCTCCACGGACTCGATCTACTTGTCCAGACACGTGTCTATTCGAGTTGGAATCCCCATTAACAAGCCAGCACTCACCGTTAACCGACTGTGTGGCTCTGGATTCCAATCGATTGTCAATGGAGCACAAGTATAAATATAAATATGATCCAAAGTTTCTTTGTCGAAGATCTGTTTCCAGAACATTGTGCTTGGAGATTCGTCTGTAGTTCTGACTGGCGGAGTCGATAACATGAGCCAGTCGCCCCACATTGTGCGCGGAGTCCGCTTTGGAGTTCCTCTGGGCGTCTCACCCGTCCTTGAGGACTCTCTTTGGGCTGGTCTGACTGACTCGTACTGCAAGATGCCCATGGCCATCACTGCCGAAAACTTGGCTGACAAGTACAAGATCAGCAGAGAGGAAGTCGAGCAATTCGCTCTCTCGTCCCAGTCCAAGTGGAAGAACGGTAATCTTGAATTATAAAAGTTTGAAGCAAGCCCTTAATAATGCAATTATTATCAGCCCACGACAATGGCTACTTCAAGGAAGAATTGGCCCCAGTCAGTGTAAAGGTCAAGGGCAAGGAAGTGAGCATTGATTTTGATGAGCACCCCAAGCCTGCCACAACCAAAGAGGGTCTCGCAAAGCTCCCGTCCATCTTCAAGAAAGGTGGTGTCGTCACTGCTGGAACTGCATCTGTAAACATTTTTACTGTAAACAAAATTATTTTATTCCAATTTGTCGATTGAAGGGTGTTTGCGATGGTGCTGGAGCCGTTGTCCTTGCCAGCGAGGAGGCTTGCTCCAAGCTAAACTTGAAGCCACTTGCTCGACTTGTGGGCTACAGTGTTGTTGGTGTCGAGCCAAGCATCATGGGCATTGGCCCTGCTCCTGCTATCAGCATGCTCCTCGAAAAAGCCGGAAAATCTCTCTCTGACATTGACCTCATTGAGGTATATTTGCAATTAAATGCTATTAAATCAATCTATTTTGAACAAAATGTTAGATCAATGAAGCCTTTGGTGCCCAAACTCTTGCCTGTGCCAAAGAACTGAAACTGGACACAAGCAAGTTGAACGTGAATGGAGGTGCCATTGCCCTAGGTCACCCACTGGCTGCCTCTGGATCAAGGATTACTGCTCATCTTGTTCATGAACTCAGGTAAATTATTTTACAAGAAATTGTGCAGCATTTTTAAATCAACTTTTATTGCAGGAGAAGGAAGGCCAAGTTGGGAATTGGATCAGCCTGCATTGGTGGCGGACAAGGCATCGCCCTGCTCATCGAGAGCATTCACTAAAATTTTGGAGCGTCGAATATAGTGTCTAATTCATGGTCATGTTTTAAGACTGCATGTTATATTTTCCACTTATATTTCTTGCGTGAGGCAAATGCCCATCTGAAAGTTATAATTTGCAAGGTGGAGGCCAATTTTAATAAAATTTTCAATATGTTATATTTCTAAATAAAAAGCTTATTGATCTACAAAAGAATTACAATTAAAAACAATATACTAAAAGTACTTGATGGAAACAGGATGGAAACATCACTTCTGCTTTTTAAAGATTATTTATTTACAAAAATCAGTCGTCCATAGTGGGTGGTGCTAGCGACTGATACAATTTTGAGACTGCTGTCTGTACAACTTGCTGCAACAACTCATCCTCCTCACAAATAACATTCTGGAAAGATTTGTCAGTCAAAAGCAGAATTTTTTTATAATTATCAATTCACCATTTTCTCCAAATCGATGTCAGCTTTTTTGCCATCAACAGTGACATGCAGTTTGTCACCCTTGAAAATTTTTGGGACTGAATCCTCGCCAAACATGTCCTGCAGCATTTCAATCAGGCATTCCTTGAAATGCATGCTATCCATCTTTGAAGATGTGGTTGGCAGGGTTTTCGGGGCATCCTCTACCGACTCTGCCTGCAGAACTGCAGCCAGAACCGTGTCTGCATACATGTCGTTCACAGGACTCGCAACCCACTTAAAAATTTTGTTATGAGGAATTATTGGATTTTAGTTTCCATTACCTCCAAAGTTATGCATTTTTCAACTAAGGTAAGGTCAATGCAGTTAAAAATTCGCAACTTCTTGTCATCGACGGCTTCTACATTTCCCGCGAGCTGAATGAGTATGTGCTTGAGCAATGCCATGGGTCCATTGTAGTGCATGCTCATCCTCTGAACCACTTGACTAATACTCATGTCAGAATACTCTACAGAAGATTCAATTTGTAGAAAATATCGAATGAAATTTCAATTTACAAACTTGCAAGGTCGGCTGGATCTAAAAGAAGGTAGTTGAAGTTACGCTTTACCAAGATGCCTGAAAGTGTGTTGCCAGGTTTCGGAGGTTCAACTGCCAGGGACCCCATAACCTTAAAATTACTAATTAAAGATCAGGATCAATTTCATCAACAAGTCCTACTTTCGCAGTTTTTTCTCCCCTGAAATAAAGCTCGACGGCAATTGTATTTCGGGGGTTGTAAATTTGCATCTTATTTTTTGGGTCGGCTTCAAATTCTCTGACCAAAGCTGTTTTCAGACGATTCATTTCGTTCTGTTCGCCATGCACTAGAACCTACGGCAATATTAATTTAATGTTAAATCTGAAATTAGTAAAAACCACAACATACAATATGAGGAGGTTTCAGAATTTTGATGAAATCTCTCGTTTGCTGATAATCTGTGTGGGCTGAAAATGAGATGTAGTCGACGGACATTTTCAGAGGAAGTTTTTGTCCGGCCATCGTTGTGATTTCCTCTGGCTCAGACAAAATCATTTTGGCCAAAGTACCCTCCACACAATAGCCTAAAAGAGTATACTTAACAGTTTTCACCTATTTCGTATGCAAAATCCATATACCTGCAATGATGACTCCATTTTTGTGGTCAGAGCACCACGATTCGAACAGTTCCCTAGAAAGTCCACTTTGCATCATACCAGGGGACGCCATAACAACGCAAGGACCCACATCCTCAAAATGATCGATACCCTGAAATATAAAGAGGATACATATTATAAAACTAATAAAAATAATGGCTAGCATTTATACCTTCAGGTTTGAGATGTGCTTGAACACAAACGGGTTACTGACGGCAATCTGGTTTTTAATTTTGTCGTTCATTGCATTAATGTAAGTCTGATACACGGCCATACATTTTTTGGCAAGAGACGATGCGTAGTAAATGGGAATGTCGTGCAACTCCGGGTGCTGGCCCCAATACTCGTCTATAAAAAAGCAAGCATAAGTATCTTTAATCGGTATTTATTTTGAAGTAATACCTAAAATGAGCAAAAGTTCTTGTGCTCTTCCAAGAGCAAAAACAGGGATGAGGCATCGCCCTCCTCTGCTAACAATGCTGTTGACCAAGGTGGTGAAACGGCCTTCCCGCTCTTCTCTTTTCTCGTGGACGTGTGTTCCGTAAGTACTTTCCTACATTGAATTTTTTATTTTAATAATCATATTGGAACGAATGAAAAAATAAATATCATTTTACAGTGATAAGGACATCAGGGTGGACATTAGGAATCTCCGCTGCCATCAAATGCCTGTCTTCTTGTCGAGAAAAGTCTCCAGTGTACAAAATTTTGACGCCGGCAATTTCGATCATGAACATGGCAGCGCCAAGAACGTGGCCAGCATTGTACGCCCAAAACTTAACTCCAAGCACATCCTTCTCCTCGTGGAAGTTTATTGTTTCGATTTTGTCCATTGAACTCTCTAAATCTGCTTCTGTGTACAGCATTTGCTCTGTAGCAATGTTGCTAAGATACGATTTGCCATTAATAATTGGATATAAAAATTAAAAAAAGAACTTTAAAAATAAATACCTGACTTTGATATAATCTGACAGAAGCCAGCGATAAATAGCTTTTGTGGCATGGGTCATAAAACAACGACCCTTGAATTTTGTTTTCTGCAAAAACCATGGTAGAGCTCCACAGTGGTCCAAATGAAAGCTTTAAGAAAATATGTTGGTACAGAACGTGAATATTAGTAATATTAGTCTTTTACTGTGATATGAGCAGGAGATCTATTTCGTCTGCTTCAATCAAGTCTACGAATGGAAGAGCATCCATACCTGATAGACCTGGATGAATACCGCAGTCAAGCTAAAATAAAAAAAAATTATTTAAAACGGTTCATTTCTCAAAATTTCCACATTTCTTACCATAATTTTCTTTCCCTTGAACTCGAGCATAATGCAAGACCTTCCAACCTCTTGCCCTGCGCCCCTGTAAAAGTTAAAATTTGAGAGGTCAGAAAAATAAAAAATTGTTTGTATAAAAGTTGAGCTTACAATGGCCTGATTGAAAGCAGATCGCTCTCTTCGGCGGGCAAAGATGACTCAACTTTAACCCTTCCGGCCATCATCTTGCAATGCAGAAGGGCTTCGTAGCAAATTTCCAAATTAGAACCGGCTCAATTCCCGGCGTCGTGTGTTTGTTTTGAATTTTGGTTTTCGATAAATATGGTGCGATGTCGTGCTGATCGGCGAACTTTGATCAACCAGCGCCTCCACTGTATGGTGGTGACATTTCGAAGTTGACTCATCCCGCGGTATTGATTGCTGCGTTGATTGGTTTAGGGAAAAACTCTAGCCAATCAGAAGAGCCGCTCAGTTACTCAGAAAGATGGCCGCTCTGCCGTCTCCAACCCAGGTAATCTTGCTATTTTGTACCAAATTTGCCCAAATATAAGCCTTTATTTTGCCTTAATGATAGGTAGATTAAGTTTTGGTAGTTCTTTCTTTGGATTTCTGTGAATTTCTCGTCCAGAGAACGTGCCCTGACCGTTCGGCCGTTGTTGCGAAAAGCGCGGAAACCTCTTGTCAAAATCGTTGAAAGTGGGCGTACGAAGTCTTCTTTCATCAGAGGAAGTCCCTTTTTCCCTTTTTATAAATTAATTGCTTCACCGTTGATAAAGTCCGTCGAATAAAAGCATGAGTGGTTGTTCAAATGCTCGTAAAACACTTCAGTTCGGTGTTATTTTTTAACCCAACGTAAGACCTTACAAGGGTCCCAATTTGATTGCCGTCACACGAGAGCCCCATATCGATCTAAAATTGAAATCATTTCTTTCCAGGTGGCTGGAGGCCACGCTGCAATATATGAGGCGTACTATCAGCAGGTGAGCAACACCATAAATCTAACAACAAATAGCAACGCAGATAAGCAGGCGATTAGTCAAATATACCCTCTAGCACTATTTTGTTTTAAAGGAAAATGTTAAAAATAGTAATTTTCCCTCAGGTGGATCCCTCAGGTTCTGGCTCTGTGCCGGCTCAAGTTGCTGCAAAGTTTCTGAAAAAGTCTGGCCTCTCTGACATCATCCTAAGCAGAGTAAAATCTAAATCAGACTCGTCCCACTCGCAGAACCAATGCTTATTTTTATTCACTTGCAGATATGGGATTTATCAGACACAGCAGGAAGAGGCTTCCTGAACAAGCAGGGGTTTTTTGTCGCTCTAAAACTAGTGTCCCTCGCGCAAGCCGGCAAGGCCCTCACAAATGCTAACATGCTGAGTGAAACGCCGCCTCCTAAAGTTGTGAGTTTCAATCAGATTTGCTGTGAATTTTTCTCCTAATAAACTGCTAGGGCGAACTTCCTAATGTTCTGCCAACTGGTGGACCTCCGAAGCCTGCTCCTGGTATGGGAGGCACTAATTGGACGGTCCAGCCTGCTGAGAAAATAAAATACGACAAACTCTTTGATTCCTTGGAACCTATCAATGGCCTTATTCCAGGCGCCAAGGTAAATTAAACACCACCCATATTGTCAATGCAAATTATTGCTTAATTTTACCAAACTTTTGCTGCCACTGATAAATTTATTAACTTTTCAGGTCAAAAATGTTATGATGAACTCAAAACTGCCATTGCCGATCCTTGGCAAAATTTGGGACCTTGCGGATGCTGACAAAGATGGAATGTTGGATAGACATGAATTCACAGTGGTAAATACTAAATAAAACCTGTTGAAAAATTTTATTCTTAACCAATCAACTACAGGCAATGCATTTGGTATACAAAGGACTAGAGAATCACGCTATTCCAGCCACACTTCCACCCGATCTGCAAAAACCATCAAGGCCACCAATTCCAGTTGCACCAGGCGCTGCTCCAAATAGGGTATCTCGACTAAATGAGTGATGCACGAAGGGATTCTTATAATGAAATTTCCAGCCTGCTGTTCCACCTATGCCAAATGCGCCACCTAATTTGGTCCCTGCGCCTATTCAAGCTGCTCCGAAACCCACTCCAACTTTCACATCACCACACACAGTTCACTGGGTTGTTGGTCCAGGTGACAGAGCCAAATACGAACCACGATTCAAACTTGCTGACAAAGACCAGGATGGATTCGTTTCTGGTGCTGAGATCAAAGATATCTTCCTCCAGTCTGGTGTCCCCCCACAGCTTCTTGCTCACATTTGGTATTGTATTTATAAAAGTTTTGCAATAAATTTTCTAAGCTTAATTTTAATTCAGGGGTCTTTGTGACACCAACCAGCTTGGAAAACTAAACCTCGAGCAGTTTATGCTCGCTATGTGGCTGATCGAACAGAAACTCAAAGGTGTGAACCCACCTCCCGCTCTAGCTCCAGACATGGTGCCACCAAGCATGCGACCAAAGCCACCACCTCAGCCAAACGTAATAGAGGTAAGTTTTTTTTCTCAATTTATTATTAATTGCGCATGTTTTGAACAGTTGCTTAAAGCTGGTGAATATATACCCTATACATAGCTAACATTACCACTGCTGAGGTCCAAATTATGATAACCACAGACCAGGATCTATCAAATAGGGAAACTTTTTGAAGCATAACTTTGACCGAAACCGAGCCAATTAGTTTGTCCTGCTGCCAACAGCTAGAGAAATAGTTTTATTTTAAAAATCCATTACTTGTTAGTATTTACCTGTAAACTTGTGAATCTTTGACCTTTTCAATTTCCAATTTACCCAATGGTGTCATCTTTGTGTTTCCCTTAGAGTTGGGGTTCAAAATTTCATTTCCAAATTTCCATTTGATGGGAGAGTCATCAATGAGGTGGCTACGTTATTCTTATTATACTGTAAATGAAAATAATTGTAATACCCTTGGCACTGCATCAAGATTCTTTCTCCTTTATGCGGAAAAAGGTGATTCCTGTGGACAGGGTGAGGCAGTTGGGGTATTCCTTGTAATGTTGAAAACAATCCAAGGCTATTATCCACTTGATCGACTAGATTCCCAGTGCTGTCTAGAACTCGGAAAAATTTTCCTTTTCCTTTACAGAGAACCTTCAAAACAGAAAAATAACCCTAAAGTCAACAAGCAACAATTCTTATCCATAAGCAAAAAAAGGGTCGTTACCCTGCAATAAGTGTATATCACTTCTGATGGTCTCTCCAGTATTCTTGGATCATTTTGAAACTCCTCTGGAAGCTGACTTGAGCGACAGGGTGTTGGACCTGGCCAAGCTTCCTTGAAAGCGTCCGAGTTTGCTCTATAATATGATAATAATTTAGAATTTTGAAGTTACAAGTAAACATTTTTTTAAACCTGACGTCAACCATACAAGGCCCGTGCCTCCATTTAAACCCGACTTGTCCACAACACCTTTGCTCACTACACGTCAACCATGGACCCCATTTTGAGAAAACGTCAACTTCTCCAAAGTCGGTTTTGAATGTCAAGTTGGTCCGTGGAAATGGCTTCGACTTTAATTTTACCTGATTTCATGTTAAAATTATTGTGAATCTTGATTATTTTAATTTATTTAAACTAACCTTTTCAATGAGCTCATTTTCTTCATTTAAAATTGTTACGAAGGTGCTCATTTTCCCTTTTCCTGTGACCGAGCAGACGTAAAGTCCAGAATCCTCTGCTTTTGCTCTATTAATATGAAGGGCGCGGCTAGTGTGGTTCTGCCGTTTGCCATCTTTGTACCAAAAAATTGGGAATTCTTCGTGAGAGTCCAAGCAAACTTCACATGTCAGTCTAAATTTAAGTTTAATAACTGTGATTAATGCCAGGAATATTTCAACTGTTACTTGATATGTGAATTTTCAAAGTAAGCCTCATTTGACATCCTTTTAATTCCTTCCAATTTCCTGCACTCTTGGTTATCTGCAACTCCTGGTTCTTGATTCGGGAGAATCTGGCATGCAATATTTAAAAGTGTGATTAAAATTAGCAGCAATAAGAAGATCATCTTGAGCGTCATTTTGAAATCGAATGTAGCCAACAATTGACCGTTTCCTTTTAATTGTTGCAGGTTGTAAGTGCTAACGCAGGAACACCCTATCAGAGCACACCAGAGCTTGACATGATTAGCAAGGAAATTGCTGAATTGGCCATGGAGAAACGCAACTTGGAAACTGACATTGCCCAGAAGGAAGCAGACATAAAAATCAAGTCTGGCGAAATAAAAAGCCTACAGGTTTGAGAAATCTTGATATTTCTTAAATAAATATATTAAAAAAATCTCCAGGGTGAGTTGGATACCCTAGCAGCAACATTGAAGCAGCTGGAGAACCAGAAAGGAGAGGCTCAGAAAAGGCTCAATGATCTCAAAGGACAGGTTTGTCGTTGTAAAAATTGTCTCTTATACCCACAGTAGTTGATTAGTTTTTGTTGTACTCATTATCACTTTTCTATTTGTTTTTCTATTTTAATTTCTGCACAGTTATATCATTGTTTTATTTTTCCAATTTCATTTCCATTTATTTAGAAATCCACGCTAGAAAAAGAAGTGTCAGATATCAAATTACTGTTGGAAGAAGAACAGTCCAAGGTAAAGTTTTGCTTCCAGTTTTTGTTTAAATTACACTATCATAGTACATTTATCTTGGACTTGCACAAGTAGTTTTTATGTATCCGTAGTTAACAAGTGGTGCTATTCTAGGTGGCAATGTTGAGATGCCAGGCAGACGAGCAGGAGAGGACGCTCAAGGACCAAGAAGATGAACTAAACCAAAGAAAACAGGAGCTGGAGAACCTCAAGACAGAAGAAACCAGACTTGAGACCTCCCTTAAATCCTCAAAGACCCAATTTGAAGGGCTAAACAACAATCTTCAGGAGACGCAGCTTCTCATTAGTCAGGTACACTTTTGATGTAATAAATTAAATGCTTTGGTGGCTCTCAACTTATAAGTGGCTCCGAGATGTGACAACGGGACTTGAGTTAAATATATGATTTGACTGAATTCTTAAAAAAAATATTGCTTAGGCGCTTGAATGTGAATGTTTGCTTGTCTACAGGCTAAAGCCAAAATTACTCAGCTAGAGGAGCAACAACGCCAGATGGACGATGCCATAACCATGTATGACACAGCACTGACAAATAACGATGCCTTTGCAGTCCCCGACACTTCCCTAGAGCCCATATCCACAGAGTTTAGAGAGCCAGAGTTTGTACAGTTTGCCATGGTAAATGGGGTGACCTCTCCCTCGGAGACAAAGGTGACGAAGCAAATTAAAATGTCACTGGCATAATTATCTAACTTGTGATTTTTTTTTCTTAGGTCTCTGACGATCCTTTTGCTTCAACAAATGGTGAAGGAGGGTTTCAGTCAAAGGACAACGCATTTGGAAATGGTGCTAAACTGAAGCTTCTAACTTTTATCATTTTACTGAAGTCAAATATCTTGCTATTTCAGACGAGTTCACAAGTGACCCCTTTGCAGCGAATTTCGACTCCCAACAAAACACAGGGTTTGACTCGGATCCTTTTGCCAGCTTGGGTGGTAATACAGGTAAAAATTACCACGCCATAATTAAGAATATTATATATATATTTTTTCTAACAAGTGTCGTGCAAAATAATTTGCTAGAAAGATAAATAATTGTTAAAAAAACATCTCAGGTGGGCAAAACGATCCTTTTGATCCATTTGGAGAAAAAGCTGCTGCGTCCAAGACCCCAGAGGTGACTATTAACATATTAAGGCTAATCACAGAACATAAAGTTCAATTTATTTTAGCCTGGAGCTGACGCGTTTGGCTGCGACCCATTTGCAAATTCAACCTCACCTGCCCTGACGCCCTCTCCTGTGCCCCCAGTAACACCACAGCCAGGCCGCGAGGACAGCAGCCCTACCCCTGCCCTTCCACCAAAGAAAAGCAAACAACCTCCTCCACGCCCTGCTCCTCCTAAGGCGATGCTGAGAGCGGCGCCAGCACCTGCAGCGCCAACCAGCCCCAGTCCGGAGCCCAATGCGGATCCATTTGGGCAGGATGCTTTTTCGAATAACGACGCCTTCTCATCTTCAGCTGGTGGATTTGCTAATTTTGCTGATTTTGATAAGGTAGGGCTACATTGTAAATAACATTTTAAGCTTCATTTCACATTGATTCCTTGAAATATTTGGCTGAAACCCAAATCAAAACTGGCTGTTATGAATATTTCCATAAATAAAGACTTTTTCTTTAAATGATCCAGCCAGTTGTGGAAACAGCCAAAGCACCTGACAGGAATTAAAATTAAAAAATCCCAATCCGTGCTGTTGATGTTTAGCTAGAAGCGTTAAGCATAATATTTTGGTTGCGTGGTGTACCCTGCTATTCCTACATGCGTGGTAACACCACTTGTTTAAAAATCCACTACCCCAATTTCTGAGCTACAGGTCCTAAACCATCTGAAATCAATTAACTAAAAGTTAATAATGCACTCTGTATCTCTTTTGTTCCGTTTGACGTGTTAGAAGGATGATAGTAGTGTAAGTAGTCTCTCAATGTTTGTTCATCAAATGCGATTGTTAAGTTTTTTTTTGTTTCCTTTTGATTTTTGAATTTAAATAATGAATCTAATCAGTGAAACTTTTGAAAACTAAAAACAATTATTTTTTCAACTGTTTCAGTTAATTTCGTTGGCTACGGCCGTTAGAGTTGCAATGTTCAAGATGTATTTCTCGGTGTCTAAAAATCAAACTAGTACTAGTAGCACCAGCGTTGACCAATAGGTATAATGATCATCTAGCATGCCCACACTTTTCTTTCATCTGTAGTGTCATGGCGTAATCTTTATATAGATTTTTTTTAACAATAATACGTGTGACTTAAATTTTGCAATTTAATTGAAAACTACTGGGGGGTTTGTTCACGTTTGACAATTTCCTACAATCCCAAGCTCTGCTTTACCGCTGAAACTCGAAACTGTAGCTCAGATATTCCCATAATTTGCCCGGATTTATGAACACCGCATTATTTTATCGTACAACTTTATGTTTCTCTTTTCAGTTTTTATTTTCTTTTCATATTTGATTTCTTTAGGTTAGTACCACGGCTACAACTCCAGTTATTGCTTGCAAGCACACGTACAAATAGATGTGAGCATGGATGCTGTTTTGTTGGAGAAAAATTGTTTTACTTTCAACTCCATTTTATTTGAGTTTGAGTCTTATGTATCTGCACTTTTTATTTTATTATTCTTGCTCCATTTGAAAGGCTCAAACTCACCAAAAGGCTTTTTTGTGCAGAACCTAAATTTTTTTGATGAAGCAGGAAAACTTTCAATATTTTATTCTTGGCATTTTAAATAGATACGTTGGGCTAATTGGGCTATTCATCCTCATAAATACATAAATTTACGCTCAGAGCCAGAAATACTCATTATTATTTCTTGCTGAAATTTTGGGCACTGTTGATAAATTTGTAAATTTTCCATGATTTATTTTTCATGCACGAAAAATAGTGCTTAAAACGCATAAAGATGCACATTGTTTTGAATTTAAAATAGTTCTGTTGCCAAAATTATTATTTTAAATGCAATTTTAAAATTTGAACAACTCAAGCGTGGTCCGTTAAAAAGCCTTTTGCAAACCCACTGACGTTTTCACCTTTTAGTTGTCTAGGGTGGCGCCACGTCCGTTCTTTTTTTTCAACGCATGCACCCCCCACTAACCCTTTGCTTTTGTGGCGCCACTCGCCTGCAGCAGCCGAGCGGACCACCGGAGACTAACTCTGAGTTCTTGCTTTTTGTCCTCGATCAGCCTTAATCACCTGCTGATTGATTCTCCGCAGTTCTCCACCAAGAGCAACAACAACAACGGCATTTCGAGGCATTCCCACAGCAACAACAACAACTACACAAGCAGCAGCAACAGCAGTTCAACGGCGCCTAGTCCGGCCCCGCCGACCCCAGCTCGGCCCAAGGGCCGATATGCGGGTCTCGAGTTCACGGAGGACCCTTTCCGGGACTACCGCTACGAGGACCCCTTCGAAATCGAAGATCCGTTTGCCAGCCTGCCTCCGGCGCCAACCTCAACAGCCGCCCCCAGCGCCGCCTCCAACAACAACGTGCCCGATGCGTGGGGCCTCTCAGCCGACGAGGAGCGGAAGCGCAAGTTGCGTGAACAGGAAAAGGCAGATTATGAATACGCGTTGGCCCTGAGCCAGGCTGAGGGCGCCGGCAGATAAACAGACTTGAGTTTTCTAGTTAGTTGCAAAAATGGTATCATAAAATGTGTCATCTTCTTACACACTCTCACACAGTTCCATGTTGTATATAATGTAAATGTCGAGTGATTGCGAGTGAGACTTTGAGAGAGAAAGTTGATATGTATTATATAAACTTTGATGATTAAGGAGAGGCCTCGAAACTTGAGTTTGGAAATTTTAATTTAATTTTCTTGAAAAATCAGCTGGCCATCGATGACAAATTAATTCGTCTAATTCAATCAATATTTGAGGTTTTTTAAGGTTTGACGTCATTCAGTCCAATTTGTCAATGGTAACCGTTTAAATTTATGGAGATAAATAAAAAAGTTTTAATTAACATCAGATGCTCATAGAACAAGAAATAAAATTTCCAACTAAAGAATTGAAGGTCCTAATTACGAGAAATCACTCTGCCATGTTCTTTTTGTTACTTCGTAGTCATTGTGATAATATTCATTGATTACTCTGGTTCGTTATAAACATTGTGTGCATTCTCACTCACTCAGGCTGATGCTCGTCGACGCGTCTCGGGCTTGAAAGTTAGTTAAGAGTTTTATCACCTTTTTACCACAACTTTACTGTGCTATTTTTATTCGATCTGTTTTTGATTCAAATGCTCCAGTGTATAAAATAAACTACGTTTTTGTTCCCGTTTTTGTCAGTCTCAGCCTGGTTCTAATCTTAAATCTTGTTTGCCTCCCCGCTAGAAATTAAAAATATCAATTGTTCCTAAAATTTATTGATTAGCAAAAATTGTCTGCCGCGTGCTTTTGATTTTTTTTTTCAAATACTTTTGTCCTTGCATAAATTGTGAGTGGTATATTACGTTGGTTGACTGCGTAAGAAAGTAAAAAGATGAAAGAAGCTTTGCCCAAAATTTAGTATAGCTTATAGTACGCGCCCAGGTGCAGCAGCAATAACGATTGTAAACTCCTTGTATTGATGACAATATAGTTTTTAACCAACATGTTGCTGGGACATGTCTGTAGAGGCAGCAAGGATGTGAGCACCGTCTGAGCTCAAAACCCGTAGAGAGATATTAAAAGAAAAGTAATGACACATTCCAAAATGTATCAGGGCACTGCATTGAAAGGTGCATTCTACAATTAAAGATGTTTATATATCACTGAGGAGAATGAGGTATTGCAAGGAGCGGTGCACGAAAGGTGAATTTCTTAAGAAAAAAATCTCATTTAAAATGCCACTCAGGACTGTTTCTGTTTTAGCCGAATAATTTACAAACTAACCCGCGGTGAAAGAACCACAACCGACTCTGAAAATCAGTGGCAATTAATGTTTGAAAGAGAAAATTACTGGAGAACAATTGTTGAATTTCAAAAATGTGTGCCACCATAGTTTGTGTTCAAAGGCTTCTTTCTTTGCGCGATGGTTCATTTTATTCATACATTGAAAAAACATACATTATATCAAGTAATGGTGCATAATTATAAACTGTTGTTGAATATTAGCTGCTCTGAAATCATCGGTTTTCATATTAACTATAATATGAGCGATAAATAAAAGGTTCGCAGTCAGGCCTATGTGTACTTCATTCATTTTCTACTGGTAGATTTGATCCCATATTCAAAGTTGCTGATCAGGTCGGAGGTTTTTTGCAATCATAAAAAAATAATTAATTTCTTTATATCATAGTGCCTGCTGTTTAAGAAGTCGCTGTATCAAGTGGGTAAAAAAAAAGCAATCACTAAAAAGAACGTGCAAATAATAACACATTAATCAGACAAAACAGACAGGCTTCACAATTAATATAATAATTATCTTGATCGTTCGGGAACAATAATAAAACTATGAAAAACGAAATACAAAAATACCTATTTCAATACTTGTGTAATGCCTTGATGTTATATCATCTTGATCTTTCTCTCACACTCGAATTAAAAGCTGGAATCCAGGCTAAAATTTTGGAAAGTGGAGGAAAACATGTTAACTTCCTGTTTGAATGCGTTATATTGAGAGCGATTTTAGCAGTTGCGCTTGTTATCGTATTGCATACACTAAGATGACTATTGTTGTTGAAAAATACCCAGAATTAAATTATGAATGTAGGACGCCCGCAAACCTTCATTGAAAATAATAATAAATAAACTGCAAAAATATAATCCTTAAAGACTTAACACACGAGAAAATTAACCTATCATCAGACGAGCGCCCGTGTAAATTAATAATTATACTAATGTAAAGTTGGGAAAATGTATATCATCATCGAGATGTTCAAGAAATCTTGTATGTATGTGTGCAGCAGACGAGTTGTAATAATTGATGATAGAAGTCACAATTGAATATAAAGTGATAAATAAACACAAAATACAAATATATATCAATTTAATAATTGGCCGATTTTATTCCTTTTTTATCATATTTTTTTTTTTTAGTGAAGATTAAGACACATATTTAACCTATTTAAGCATACAGTATTTTCATGACCACAGTTATGCAATTAAAGAAATGAAAATTTTTGTATTTATAACTGCAGATTGGCCCCTTGGTTTGTTTTAATATTAAAATAAAGAAACGTCAAAGACTCGTCAGTTTTGGCAATATTTCTGGAAAAACAGAAATTCATGACGTGACACAAAGGAGACATTCCAAAACTTACACATTTTAAAACTTTTTAACTTTGCTTTTAAATCACATTGTGCAAGACTGGCTTGTGAAGTGCGAGTGGCATTCAAGCCTAACGACAATTATTAATCATTACACAGAGAGACACTTACTACAATCACACGGCAAGAACAACATGAATAATCTAATACTGATGGTAACAATTTCAGTATTTTTTTTTACATAATACTTATGTATTAAAATTGGATGCCCATAAATGTTTAAAAAATATTTTTGCTGTGTGTTAGTTTTAGTTGTACTTTGAAATATTCAATTTTCCTGCGCTTCGTTGGATATATTTACAGATTAATTTGTTGCAAGAACTTTCTAAAACAAGACCAATTTCAAGCGCCAAGTCGATGAAGTGTCGCTTGCAATCAAAAATAGAGAAGTCGTGTTCCTGTATGATTTCCTTGGAGATAAATTTGCGGTGCAGATTTTAAAGAAGGATATAGTCGGAGAAATTATTCGTCAATAAATACACTCTGATCACAGACAGCAGTAAAAGTTGTTCAACTATTTGACTATCCACTTCATCTCACTTCACGGAGTTCATCGGTGCCAATGGAGCCAGTGTAGGAGGAGGTCGAAGAAAGCAGGCGGCGCACCGATGGGTGGTGTTTGAGTCCATTGCGCTCCTCCAGAGTGGTGACCGCCGTGCCGCCCGAAGAGTTGCCCTCGCTCGGGGGGTCCTGATTAAGTCGAATTGCACACTGGCCTGGCCAGAAACCTCCACAGAAGTATCGTGCCTTTAAAAGAAAAGAAAACAAATTTATGATTCCTCTCGGTCGTAGAAGGAACTTAGAAAATTAATCCAAAAAAGTGGGTTGTTTTATTTTTATTAATTGTTTTTAATGGTTAATTTAAAAAAAAAATAACTTACGGTGACGAGCCCAAATATGGCACCAAAAATAGAGCCCGCTATGACGTCGTGCGGGTGGTGCCTGTGGTCGTTGATTCTTGAGAGAGCACAGAGAAGGGCCCAGGTAAGGCAGACGCACTGCAACCAAGGTTTCAAATACTGAGAGGGACTGTTTCTCGGCACTCCAGTCATTCGACGTTGAAGGAAACACTGCAAATTTATTTTAAAACTGTAAATACTTTCTTTTTAAATATTTTGAAATTACTATGAGGAACATGGCTGTGAAGACGGAGACCGACGCATGGCCCGAAGGGAAAGATTTCACCGAGTCTCGCAGTCTGTAGTCACTGATGTCTTTATTGGTGCAGTTGAACTCCTCAATGTACCTGATTTTGAAAAAAAAAATGCTCTTTAATACATAAATTTACTCAGAATTTTTTTATTTTATTTTTATTTCAATAAAATGTGTAAATTTTTCTTTTCTTTTTTGGACTCACCCCTGTGTGGCAGGCGCAAGCGACTTGCAGTGCTCGACGCCGTTAACCATAGCGTCGGGCGCACAGGTGTGCAGAAAGTGCGGTCGCGGCTCACTGACCATAATTTTGGCCAGCTCGGTGGCCAGGATTATCATTCCAAGGCCGAGCATGTACTCTCGGTACCAGACCCACGTGTGACGCCACGCTTTCATCAACCACGAGCCCTCGTCCGAGCCTGAACAGTGGCAGCATGACGATTCAATTGAATAGAGCTAAATCAGAAAAGTTGATGATAAAAACAGAACCTGACGTTGAACGGAACAACTCACAAAAAGAAGGGGTGCGACGAACGAAACGCCGAGCAGCAGATTGAGCGAAATCGTGTCTCCGGTGAATTTGTGAGCGATCGTCTTGTCATCGCAGTAAAAGCCCGACTTGGCTCCAGGGAGCCATCCTGTCTCGATGACAATCAGAATCAGCACCACTGCAACAAATAAAGCCACCCATATAAATCATGCTTTGCACTTTATTTTTTCAATAAATATTTATTTGTTATCTTATACTGCATTCTCAGCATTCAGTTTTTGTGGAAATGAATAGTTTGGGCTTTTTCCTCGTTGCAGAAATTGTGTGTGTGTTTTTTTTTAAGTTTCGGTTACGGTCTGCGACCCTATTTCTTGACCAAGAAAAAGACAAAAAGTCAGCCAAATTGAAAATTTGAATAAAAAAAAAAGCAATTTCTGCAATGAGGGAAAAGCCCGATCTCTTCATTTCCATGATTATCTCCTCAAGCGTCAACCTTTTCTAACAAATTCAATTTTTGTTATTGATTTAATTTTTTCTGCTTTAATGTAATTTTAAAGGGGGAAAATATTAAAGTAAATTAAAGCAAGGTGGATTTGATGGGAGAAAATTAAAACCGGGCTAGAAAAAAATTACTTTTCAACTTTGATTGTTTTTTAAGCAAATATTATTTGGATTGCCAAATACGATTAAAGCTTCAGTTTAATCACCTTTACAATTTAGAGCCACGAAGATTGTTGTTGAAAAGTACTGACTGATAATTATCTTGTTCATCAAAAATAGAAACGTCGGACACGTGAATTTATTTTCAAATGGAGTAAAATTATGTTTTATTTTTAAATAATAAAAATAAATCAAACATTCCAATTGACGGTGTCTTTTCAAAACATCCAATAAATTCTTACTCAACATAAATATTTTAAATTAAAATTTATTATATTTAATATGCTTGAGATGCAGACTCTCTATTGTGTAAAGTTTGCTGATTGTTGACGTCTGGTGCAGTCTGAAGATGAGCAAAAACGTGCAAAAAATAGGGTGCGCGATGAGGGAGGGCCTTACTTAGACAAAAGGAATAATGCATGCATGATAAATGGAAGAGCGAGTTGTCAGAGCGACGAGATCAAAGTGGTCGCGTTCACTCTTAATTTCGAGCCGGCGAACGATGGACGAGAGAGAGCCGAGGGTGGGCGACCGTGCCCATCTCTCTGGACTATGATGTTTTATAATGTGCGCCTCCCTATATATTTTGCTCATCACCACTCGGCGCGGCAACGATGAGGCATATCTGGCGCGAAAGAGAGAATATATAAATAATTGCATCCGCGAAATACAGCAACGCTGACGACGAATTGGATAATGGGCCAGCGCAGCAGCTGCTTCTGAGCGGCCGTCCAAATTATTGTTGCCTCTTCCAAACAATTGTCAAGAATATTTTGTATAAAGGTGCTAAAAAAAGCTTCTTGGAATACTGATAATTAAAAAATATTAATGAATTTTGTTCATTACTGCTGTTCATCCTGAATTTGACCCAGATTGAGTTAAAATTTTATTAAAGATCCTATATTTGTTAATAAATTAAGGTCGTTACGGTCTTAATTAATAATTAAATAGCATTTATGTTGCCATTTAATTTTCCGTTTCCATATTAAACCGTCTTATACTTTTTCAAGTTGTTCTGTTTATTTTGTTTGTGGTGCGATTTTGCATGGCTGTTTTTTTCTCAAAGACGACTTTTTCTAGGAGCGGACGGACAAGAGATATGCAAAATGTGATGGACGACCTGTCCTTGCTGGCATTTGAAGCTCTTTCTTTGCGTATAGGAGACCTTATTCATGATACTTTAGAAAAGAGAAAACGTCAGTGACTTCTAAGGTCAGATCTAAAGGTTTGGGAAAAAACTTTTGTATTTTTTTTCTTTAAGCTCATAATTCATTTCCCATTTCCATAGAGCTACATGAAATATTACAAAGCAGAAGAGATGAGAAAATTTGTTAGCTTTTCCGAAATTTATTATTACGAAATGATATTTATTGCGAGCACTTGCGCGTCGCTGTCACTGACAATGAGAATTAATGGGATAGTGAACGGTTTGATAACGTTCGCGGCGTCCTTTTGGCTCGTTGCCCGCCGATGATGGCTTTTATTTGCTGCACAATTTTGATAATGTTGCTGTAAAATAAAATGTAGCAACTTTTGGAGATAATCACTTTTATAAAAACACGTAATTTTGTTAAGGAGATTTTTAAATTGTAAAATTATTTGATTAAAATAAATATTTATAGAAATATATTAAAATAATAATATCAAAGGCGAAAATTCCCACAATAAATTAATTTTTTATGCGCAGAAAAATTGTCATTTTATTCACGTCTGGAAATGACACAATCTGTTCCTTTCAGTCGGTGCACATTTTTCAAGCCTTTCATCAATGAACAAAGGTTTTTTGTCCGAAGAGACGCATTTTTTTTTAGCACGAAATTCACGGTCGCTGCACAGCAATTACACTTATCTTACGCATTTCCAGCCGATTGCGATTCATTGTTTGAGGCGTGAAAGAGAGAGCCGCGGAGAAAAAAACCGCTAGCGGCTCTTCGGCCTTCGCAACGCCGAGAGCGCAAAAAAGACGCGCGAGCGCTAATATAACAATACGCGCGCGCGAGATGCTCTTCTCAGTCACAAACACACACACAGATTGCTTTTCGTAAAAAAAGAGAGACTATTTGCTCAAGGACCATGCACGTCACGCAGCCCTAGGATATTAATATTGCGCAATCACTTGATCTTGCACTTTTATTCAATAGATTGGGTGGCAACTGCTGCGCGAAACTTCCCAAGATAAAAAGGCAAAAGATGTTCAAGTGACCTGACCCGATTTTCAATGCGTTTCCTTCCGGCGTCCAAGGCGGAAGTGGTTTGCAAAAGTGAAAAGTTTTTCCTCGTGAATAGTTTTAAAGATTAATTTTTATTTTCCAGCCCAATCAGAATAAAAAAATGTCATCATAAGTGATGATTTTTTTATTATTTCAATTTAAAAAAAAATGAAAAATTTTTCTTCTTGTTTTGGCGTTTGAAGAAAATACTAAAATTGATTTGCAATCACTGAATATGAAAATAAAATGCCAAGTCCTCTCAAACAGAACCATTCTCGTCACCTCTTATCACAATTTAAGAAGGTCATTGAAGATTATTATGATAAATTTTGCCTTGACTTATCTTGTCCTTCAAACTCACCGAAGAACCCTTTGGTCCAAGTGGCGAACTGACGATGGCGCCGCCTGTGCTTGCTGGCCATGGCCCGTGTCCAGCAGGGCCCGGACAGTGCAAGTCACGTGGACACTCAGAACGGCCTGCGTCCGAGTCAAGCAGCTGACCAGGGGGCGGCCACCGACACACTGGTGCACGCAGAGGCTGCGGGTCTTTGGTGCACACGGGCTGCACCGATTGCGCACGCCCCGCCGCAAAAAGAGGCTTTTGGTGCTCATCTGAGGAGCAGCGCCAAAGCCGGCACCGCTGCGAACTCGATGGTCTAACATAGGCTTCGTGTGAAAATATTCCGGTGAATTTTTTTATGTTCTTTTTTTAAAGAGGTGCCAAAATTGCGCAATTTTGCATTTGTTTTGTGACAAAAAAACAAGAGTTGCACCGAGTTGCACATTAGACTATGTGTTATCAAAAACCAGATTAGAATTGACTGCTGATTGAATATCAATATGAACGTCCAGATAAAGATAGATTAAAAAGCAAGGCATGAAAATAAATTCAAAGTGGCTTGATAACCTCAAAAATATATTAGTAAAAAAATTAAATTAGAGTGTATTGTGTCTGAATTCTGAATGTGTTTGTGCTGCAAAGTTTAATTTCAGTTTCAAATAAATATAGACAAATATTATACATGGATTCCTGAAACTGTGTGAGGGAACTTTAAACTATGGAAATCAGAATTTAAATGTCTAAATTTTTAGAAATCAGCCACTAATTATTAAAATTAACGTTCACCAGAAAATTCTTTAAATTCAAAATTTAACTGTGGGAAAACTGACGATTAAACACGCCTAGGGTGTCTGATAGCTCAGATAGCGGAATAGATTCAATTTTTCATATAGTCAGATCTAGTCTAATTGTAAATAATTCATTAAAACATTTAAAAGAAAAATTAATTGAAATTCACAATAGCGTAGTTTTTACAAGCAATTAATTATTTTTTTTAATTTTGAGGTAAAATTTAATTATGCTGACACGCCACACAACTCTGACACAGAAGGAAAGTTAGAAATAGAGAATGAAATCACGTAATTTTATATTTATTTATATGCTAAAACCATATGAATCAAGGGGAAAAAGTTTTGAAAAAACAATTCACAATTTTCCTTTCCTGTTTGGTTTTATTATAAACTGTGGTCGTTTGTAGTCTTTTTTGACTCATCAAAAAAAGTTTTATTTATAATTCAAAGTATGCAAACGTCCAGAAGCGCAATTTTATTTGAAGTTGACGATAAAATTTTGTTACTTTAATTTATATTGGAAAATAGAATAACACAAAATATCATTTTACAATACGCCCCGTTAATAATTTAAATATTTCGTAAATGCAAACTTTTGTGCTCGAAAAATTTTACTTTTAAGAATCAAAGCTTTTCGAAATTTTTTAAAACTCAATAGGCTGTCGTAAAGGTGAAGATCACTAGTGTCACTACAGCAGCAGCGATGAATGAATGAGATTTACGCTCTCGGCTCAAACGAACACCTTTTTGTCAAGCGTGGGACAATCGGCGTGGCAAAGAGACATTGACATTGATTAGCACTGGCTGCGGTCGCTGAAAGCAGCCCCGCGACGGCAGGAAGCGCGAAGAGAGCAGGGGTCGTAAACAGGATATATGTATATTGATGTATACAAACAAATCTACGTGGAAAAACCACACCAACAATCTGTTCTATTAAAAAAATTTATTTCTCATTGTTAGCCCCAAGATTCAAATCGTATTAGAGAAGTCTATCACAGTTTCTTGTTTAATTTGCCATTAGGTTCGACAAAATATTATGAAAAATTATCTACTTAAAAATAAACTTGTGCAGATTCATTTACCGAAGTTGACTCTATCACGCAAAGTTAAATTATTATTTTTTATTAAATATAATTTATCAGCATTTGCAACAATTAATTTTAATTTTTAGTAAATT